AAAAGCATAACAAACAAGTTGGACCATTAAACTAAAGCTTACCCTAAATGAGTACAATACAGTCAGTGAGTTCAAACTAGAAGGGTAAGTCAACAATCTTGCACAGTTGTCAGTTGCACATAAACAAATTGACGGTTTACGACCATCTTCAAATGAATACCAAAGAAACTATTTATATTAGAATACTTGTCCCTGACTACTCAATACTATATTAACCACAGTGGAGACAAAACAAACTAACGGGAGCCACTCATTGGAGCATTACCTTACTGAACATCGTGCACAAAGTAGGGTGTTGTTGCTTGCGATCCTCCACTGTTACCGGCAAGTCCATCACCACGCGACCAATGCCATTCACCACCTCCAGCTCGGTGGTGCTCACCGCCTTCCCCTCAGCATCCAAATCCATGTATACCACTAAGCCCACGAAGAAGACGTAGAAGAGCACGAGCCCGATGGCCTGCCAGAGGTATATCTCGGCGCTAAGGTAGATGTAGAAGAGGCCGGAGGCGGCGAGGAGGTAGAAGAAGACGTCGCGGGCGAACGACGCGGGCGGGACAGCGAACGGCGCGGCGATGAGCGCGACGGCCCCGACGACGAACGCGGAGACGAAGGCTCCGGCGGAGAGGATCGCGGCGAGCCCCGCACGCCGCATCCCGCCGGCCCCGCCGAGCGCGGCGGCGGAGGCGAACGCATCGGGGGCGCCGTTGCCGAGCGCGAGGAGCGTGACGGCGGCCATGGACGGGGAGAGGCGGAGGCGGGCCGCGAGGCGGGAGACCGCGGGGGAGAAGTGGGTCCCCGCGGCGGCGGCGAGGACGCGGAAGTGGAGGAGGAGGAGGAGCGCGAGCGCCGGGAGGGAGGCGCGGCGGTCCCCGCCCAGGAGGCAGGCGTGGATGGCGCCGTAGTCGAGGATGCCCGGCGGGTCGGCGCGGACGGAGGCGGCGCACGCGGCGGCGGCGGCGGGCGCCATGGCCCGATGCGCCGCGGCGGCGCGGTGGTGGTGGAATGGCGAGCTGCCGAGTGGGGAGTGGAGGGAATCGCGGGGGAATGTGGTGGGGAATTTGGGGAGTGAGTGAGTGCGTGCGTAGCGAACAGACGGGACGCCGACGCGGAGAGGGAATGGGGCGGTGCCGAACTTGGTGGGTCCCATCGCGAGGGAGGAAGGTCGAAGCGCACACGTGATGGTTTGGCGTGAGGGACAATCGGCCTGGCCTGGTTTGGCCCAAGAGCTGGTTTTAGTTCCATGGGCCAGCACCGACAATTTTGCGTCTGGAATAAGTTCACTTTAGATCCCTCTATTTGTCGGTCAGTCTGATTTTCGTCCCTTAACCGCAAAACCGGGTACGACCCATCCCCCAACTTACGAAAATTGGGCAAACAAGATCCCTCGGCAGTATGGAGGGCAGTTTTGGTTGACATGGCGTCTACGTGGAGCCTTTGACTAGGTCTCCGTCCCACGTGGCATTGACGTAGCGATTACGTGGCAATTTTATCTCGAAAAAATAATAAAAATAATGGGACCCATATGTCAGCTACACAAAAAATTAATAAAAAAGGTGTGGCCCGTGTGGTCCCACATGTCAGCCTCCCTCTTCTCTCTATCCCATACATTGCCAGGAGAGAAGGGCGAGCGGCGACGGAGCGAAGCGGCGCGGCAGTGGGCGGTGGACGGAGCGACGGCGGGCGGCGGGAGGAAGCGGAGCAGCAGCAGCGTGAAATGAAGCGGCAGCGGGTGGTGGGCGGAGCGACAAGGGCGCAGCGGCGGCGGGCGGTGGACGGAGCGATTGCGGGCGGTGGGTGGAGCGATGGCGGGTGGCGGGTGGTGGGCGGTGGGAGCGGCGGCAGGCGGTGGGCGGCGGGAGCGGCGGTGGGCGGAGGGGTGGCGGGCGGTGGGCGGAGCGACGCTGACAACGCCGGCTCCCCTCCCCTCTCCCTCTCTACTCTTGGCTCTTCCTCTTCTTCCTCTCGGCTCTCCCTTGTCCTTGCGCGGAACGGCAGCAGCGGCAGGCCACGGGCAGAGCGGAGGGGCGAGCGGAGCAGCGGCGACCTCGCCAAGGACGTCGCGCGCACCTCCGACACGAGAGGAGCGGCAGTGCGCTTGGGTCGGTGGCCGGTGGGAGGGCGAGATAAAAGCGGCGGCGCGCGGGGACCGTGGGGGGAGCGAGCAGTGCGCGACTGCTGGCGGGAGAGGGTTGGCGGCGCACACCAGTCGACGGGTGGGAGGGAGAGGAGCGGCGGCGGGAGGGTGGAAGAGGAGCGGCGGCTCACGGGCCTCTCCGCCCACCGCCCGCTGCCGCTCAATTTCGCCCCGCCGCCGCTCGGCTCCGCTTCCTCCCACCGCCCGCCGCCAGCCGCTCACCGTCCACCGCCGCCCGCCGCTCCATCTACCACCGGCTGCCGTGCTGCTTCGCTCCGTCGCTGCTCCGTCCGTCGCCCCTCAGCGCCGCCACTCGCCTTCTCTCCGTAGTGTGGGAGGGGAGAGAGGGGGGGATAGAGAGAAGAGGGAGGCTGATATGTGGGACCACATGGGCCCACCTTTTTTATTATTTTTTTGTAGCTAACATATGGGTCCCACAATTTTTATTATTTTTCCGGGATGAAATTGCCACGTAAGCACCACGTCATTGCCACATGGGACGAAGACCTAGTCAAAGGAGCCATGTAGGTGCCACGTAGATGCCACATCGGCCAAAACCGCCCTCTATACCGCCGAGGGAGCTCGTTTGCTCGGTTTCATAAGTTGGGGGACGGGTCGTACCCGGTTTTGCGGTTAAGGAACGAAAATCTCACTGACCGACAAATAGAGGGACCTAAAGTAAACTTATTCCTTTTGCTTCTTGTTATGGCCCTTGATAGGCTGAATTCCATGTATAATAGTACTTGCGTTTCATGTTATAAATTGTTTTTACTTTTTTTCTTTGTTATTTTTTTAAAAGCTCAATTAAATCGAGTGGACTTAAACTCAAACAAGCCTAATACAAGTCTATGGGATGCACATGCACCTAGGTTGCTTGTCTTATGGCATGTTACTTTGATGCTATTTTCAACCAAACCATTTTTTTTAAAAGTTATCAAAAAAAAGTCTACGTTTAGTTTGTTGTCAAATATGGTAAATACATAAGAAATCCTGCCAAAATTTTGACAATATTATCATCTTCCTAAAATTTTGGCATTGCCGAAATTTAATATGGTTTATTTTGGCTACAATCTAAACAGACCCCTAGATCCACGAACATGGGCTACAATTCTTGGTGGGTCAAATTCGCGCGATCTAGCCATGCTTTCTCGTTGCTTTCCACTCGCGATTCTCGTGCTCGCATAGGCTCGATCACCCATAGCCAGGCGCAGGGCGTTAGCTGCTTATTAGGCTCACTCGTCAAAGTGGACTTTTCCTTCCAGACTTGACTATCCTAACTGTGTTCTTGAAAAGGGAAAACAATCCTTAACTAAAGCAACACATCAGACTCTCGCATCCCTACTTATTCACATCACTCACAAGTCACAACTACCCCATACATGTTGTTGTGGGTCATGCACTACTCCCCTCCTGCATGCACTGTCGCAAGCTGCTGCACATACACACCTAGGTGCATGGTAAACATATTCTCACTCTTCTCTAACCAACCTTTTAATGAACTTTAAACTATTTTTCTTCATAAATTAATTATCTTTTTTGATATTTGATTGTACCTCTATATTTGTTACAATTAAATCTTTAAAACAAGATCTCCCATACTTATATTTCTAATAAAAATATATAATTATATTTCTAACTAGATATTCTTGTATAATACATGGCACATCAAGTTATAACTATTGAGACATCACGAAATATTTACTGAAACATCCAAATAACATCAAGTGCAACATTTGTGAATGAACTGGTGTAACATCACACAATACTTATTGAAACAATCAAATAATACCACGTGCAACATTTACACATATACTAGTGAAACATTAAAAAAAAACTTATTGAGACATCCAAACAACATCATTTGCATTTTTTTTTAAAAAAAAACATTGCAACATAACAATATAAAATATGCAACAATGTCGAATTTCTATGGTTGAAACATATATATATATATATATATATATATGTATATATATAATGTATGTATATATATGTATATATATATATATATGTATGTATATAATGTATGTATATATATGTATATATATATATATATATATATATATATATATATATATATATATAGAAAATAATCCTAAGTATAATAATTCTAGATTCATTACTACTAGTTTATGTCATATCCTATTTTAATTTGATTTATTTTAGGACGGATAAAGTAGGGGTGCTCACGGGATAAATGAAGATTGATATTCCTAAGCATAAATTATTCAACTGCACATGCCAATACTTGCATTTTGCTGCATAAAAATCATGTGCCCATAATTTGACAAGCATCCATAATAAGATTCAGATAACTTCCTTCGGTCATCCCGATAAAAAAATAAAATAAAATTAACAATCACAACCATAGTGCTTATCAAAACAAAAACAAAGGCCTATTTGAATAGCATGAATAGAAAAATAGAGGAAAAATAGAAGAATATGAAAAAGACATGATTCATAAAATAGATGATTAGAAAACATAGAAAAAACAAATGAATAACCGTTTGGTTGGACCGAAAGAAATACATATGAATTTGAAGAGGGATAAAGACTTAAAGAAAACTTTCTCAGGTTCTACATTATGTTAAATTTTCTATAAAACTTGCATGGAATGAAATATTACATAGGAATTACATAGGACTATATGATTCATTCCTTTAACTTTAAGGGCTATATAGAAAAAATCCTATAAAAATATAAATACTCCAAGATTCATATGATTTTCGTTCGAATCAAGGGGTCATCAGCAGTTGCAACACAAATTAGATCCAACTCGATTTAATAGTACGAGTACTTGACATGTACTCACTCCTCCTCTCCCCACCACGCCCGAATTTATTGCTACTCTACTACTCCTACGCGGCCAAACCGCACCACTAACCACAGCCGTTATGGCAAATGACTACTCCTACTCCTAGTAGACGCATCGCTTTCCAATCAAAAATCGCCGAACTAAAACAGAAAGCAAATACTCATCTCCCTCTCAAATCCTCCTCTTCCTCTTGGAGACCTCCACTTCGCCTTTAATGGCGGCCACGCACAACCTCCCGTCTCAGTGACGTCGCGCCCGTAGTCCCGTACGCTACCTCGCTGCTGCCAGGAAGCGAGGCGCGCTGGGTGGAGGAGCAGATCGAGATGGCGGTGGTGGTGGCGGCGGCGGCGGCGAAGCGGCTGGCGGGGCGGGTCACGAAGAGGCCGGTGCTGGAGAAGGCCAGGATGGCGGGGCTCGCCGTGGCGGTGGCCGCCGCCGCCGCGCTGGTGCTGCTCCTCTGCGCCGCCTCGCTCCGCTGCTCGGCGGCCGTCGGCCTCGCGCTGTCGGCGGCCCCCGGGAAGCTCTGGAGCGGCGGGGTCTCCATCGCGGCCGAGGCGGCGGCGGTGGAGGCGCGCGCCGAGGGGGAGGAGGAGGAGGAGTGCGACCTGTTCGACGGGGAGTGGGTGTGGAACGACAGCTACCCGCTCTACCACTCCACGGACTGCCCCTTCCTGGACGTCGGGTTCCGGTGCTCCGAGAACGGCCGCCCCGACGCGTCCTACTCCAAGTGGCGGTGGAGGCCGTCGCGCTGCGATCTCCCCAGGTTGGTCGGTTTGTTCGATTAAGTTCTTGCTTGTACGCTTCCGCTCGGTTGGATTTGGTGGGGGTTTGGGGGTTTAGATGAATCTACTCGATTGTCTACTTTAGCAATCTCGTGAAGGAGAAATCTAGACATCTCAAGCGAAATCTCTTGCTGCAATCCAAACATTCAGAATGGTGCATAAGCATTGTTGGTGGATCGAGTATGAATTTCGGATGCGCATTGTTTTCGAGTAATGGAGATATGAATCGTTGGCTAGTTTGGGTGACACCTAATTTGTTGGGCTTGGAGAAGTAAAGAACTCAAGATGGATAAACTTGGTTCAGTCTAGCACTCATACATGTAGCATTGTTGGTAGAATGATTGTTAATTTGCAGATGTAGTTCTGACTTTGGGCCCTTTTAGCAGGATACCTGGTGAGATTGGATCGGTGAGTGTGCATATTATAATCTGAACCCTTGTGAGCATTAGATTATTTGCACAGGAAATGAGGTTGACGACCACCGCACTTAGGAACTGTGCACCGCGATTGGAAACTCGATGCCTTATGCTCCCCACTGGGTTAGAAAACAATGTTATGCGCATGGTTAGGCCTCCGAGAGATAAATTAGTTAAACTAGTGTTGTTTAATTAGTAGTCTGTCTGTAGCTTTCATGGTGTTGCCATCTTTCACCTTTGTTTTGCCTTGATGGAAATGTGACCTCGTCTTGTTTGTTGTCAGAGTCCAGTGTTCTATATGTTCGGTTAAGCTGTCTTTCTTACAGAAAGGAAAAGTTGTCTCTTCTGTTTCAGAAAAGTATAGCTATTCTCAGATTGGGTTTCTGCCTTTTGCAGAAGAAAGAAAAAATACTGATTCTTGTTATCATCACTATCGGTAGCTTTTACATGTTGGAAAATTTGTTATCCTTCATAATTGCTTACTGTAACACATTAGACTGTATTACATACTATGGTAAACATATAAATATTTTTTATGAGAAAACAGTGGAACATCTGATTTTAACCCTTTTTTTTAAAATAAAAACTTTTGGGGCACCTTTGATTTCTCAATAAAACAGTCCATAAAGGAAAAAAAAGAAGATGATTGTGACCTTGTAATTTCATTTTCTTTTGAGCATGTAAATGATGCCTCACTGATGCTTGTAGATCAAGAAGTATTGTTATGAATAATTCACATATCCAATTAAGCATTACTGATATCATATTCTGATTTCACCATTATTTTCTTTGATTTCTTAGATTTGATGCCAGAAATATGCTGGAGAAGTTGAGAAACAAAAGAGTAGTATTTGTTGGTGATTCAATTGGGCGGAACCAGTGGGAATCTCTTCTTTGTATGCTCTCTGTTGCTGTTCCTGATAAGAGCTCCATCTTCGAAGTTAATGGGAATCCCATCACAAAACACATGGGTTTCTTAATTTTCAAGTTTAGAGACTACAATTGCACCGTGGAATATTACAGATCTCCTTTTATAGTCCTTCAAGGGCGTGCCCCACCTGGAGCTCCTGGGGTTGTTAAATATACAATTAGGGTAGATGCCATGGATTGGTTGTCTGACCGGGGCCAGTGGAGGGATGCTGATGTATTGATCCTTAACACTGGGCACTGGTGGAACTACGAGAAAACAATCAGAAGGTAAGCATTAATATCTAAACTATAGTTCTGTAGTTATGTTCTCTAATTCATATATGATGACTGATAGATGGTTCTGAGCAATTTGTTCTGCTTTTGAGCAAAATTTTAAGTTAACATAATTGCATATCTGTAATATACATGGCATAAGCCTTACACTCTTACTGTTATGTCTTGTATCAGTGGCACCTATTTTCAAGAAGGGGATGCAGTTAAAATGGACATGACTGTCGGAGATGCTTACAAAAGATCCATACAGACATTGTTTGGTTGGCTTCACAATGAGGTTAACTCAAGCAAGACCCATGTCATCTTCCGTACATATGCTCCTGTGCATTTCAGGTCCGTAAAACACAAACTCGACAGTGATGTGATTGTTCAACTATTTCCTTGCTCAAGCATTATTTGACAGTCTTGGGATATTGTTCTAAGAATATGATTTGGATACTTGCTTAAATTTTGTAGTCAGGTACCTTAGTGTCTGCTTTCACAATAATAGCAACATATGTGCATAGTTTCCATTGAAATGCTTGACTGAGTACCATATATAGTAAGACAATCAACAATAAACCATCGTCATGTTGACAAAGATGCTTTAAAAGCAGAACTATTCTGCAATCTCTTGGCCATTCACTTTTGGCTGGAAATTAGTGCTTTAGCTTCATGTTGATAATGTTTTTTTTGGATGCACAAACAACATGTGCTTCAAATGATCTGTCAAACTCAACTTTAGTAATCCATATTTTGTGCAGAGGTGGTGACTGGAAGACTGGAGGAAATTGTCATTTGGAAACTCATCCGGATGTGACACCAGTTAAATCATTGGAGCAATGGGCTGATTTTCTTAACCCCGTAAATGATGTACTAGGGAACAGCTTCAGGCCCAAGCTTCTCGGGTTGGATATACTGAACGTGACTCAGATGACGGCTCAACGGAAAGATGGGCACGTCTCAGTACACCTGAGTCCTTCAGGCCCTGTCCCTCTCTACAGGCAAGATTGCAGCCACTGGTGCTTGCCTGGAGTCCCTGATACCTGGAATGAGCTTGTCTACAACCTCTTGTTGAAAAGACAATCTATGATAGGTCAAAATGTACCTCTTGTTGGCACCAAAACACTGAAAGCTGGCTGGCGAAAGCTAAATAAGTACAACTTGACAATTTGAAGAGGGAAGTAAATCCAGCAGCTCATCAGGACAGAACAAAGCTTCATCCAGTGTCTTGGGTGATGCTGCTCCTCAGCTGATCCATTCACTTCCCAACGAGTAGGTAATAGTAGTTATCCTAGTGAGTGGACACATTTTTGGAACATTTTAGAGTTGGTTGGCAGGAAGCTGCACCGCTCTGCTCTGATCTGTAGTAGCTTAGCCTGTATTGCCAAGGTGATATGCTATCTTGGTATTTCATACAGAGAGGTTATGAGGTGAGCATAGCTAGCTAGGAGCTCCAGCAATGAATGATGTAAATATATAATTCTACTACAATCCGCGAGAAACGTGACTGTTTCGATTCAAGGGGAGCATTGTGAGTAGCTGTGACTGTTTCAGAGCATGTGCATTATTTCAGCTGCTGCCTCTGGATAGAACGCATAGTTGGCCAGTTGGGATCGTTTCTGCCCGATCTTACACGTTTGTCTGATGATGAATGGAGCCAGCACGTTTGTCTGTCACGGCACGCTGCCGTAGTGCTGCCCCATCTTGCCGGCATCCTGTCCCGGTTGACGCAATTCTGTAATTCACTGCAGCCGACTACCAAGTTTAGTTGTAGAGTTATGGATTTTGGTCTGCACTGTAAGATGGGCACTACTGGTTACTTCAGCTAACAAGTACTACTTGTGTATAGGCTGGGTTTAATATAAATCTATTATCTAAAAAACAAGTACTACTGGTTCTGGTCTGTTTTTATACTTGTTACTTCAGCTAACAAGAGATGTCTAGTTGTAGTGAAATATATATTCCCTCCACCTAAATTTTTCTTACTATTTTATTTTCCTATTTGTAATTTCTATGTATCCAAGACTTGAATGAAGAGAGTATATCTTTGTTTAGCAACAATGAATTAAGTTTATTTCGGAACCGACCAGCCATCCTCCAACAGTCCAACACCATTGCATGTATGCTGAGAATTTTGCTAAATATGGAGTATTAATCGGATGAGGTAGTTTCTTCTTGGTCTTAGTAATTAAAGAAATACGAAGAAGACTTTTAGATCAAGGTAGTATATTACATCAGTTGTTGGGAACTTAAGGTTCCTTCGAAGCACAATATTAAGAAAACAGAAAAAGGGGATAAATATAAGATTATGATAGAAATTTAATTACAAAACATATTATGATTATAAAGTACATAAATAATTATTTAATTGAACCGTGAAAAGAACAACAGAAATTGAATGAGGCTCGTAAGAAAGAGAAATTTTGCTATTTGTCACTCTTAAAATGACAATTAAGTATTTATCACTGAATCCACATATCATGAATATATAAGAATTCCACGAGTTATAAGTTACTCTCTCCATACTTATAAAGGAAGTCGTTTAGGACAATGTTTAAGTCAAACCTTGGGAATATAAATCATGAATAACACTTAAGTTGTTGAGTTTGAAAATATAAAAATTATATGAATAGATTTGTCTTGAAAAATACTTTCATAAAAGTATACATATATCACTTTTCAATAAATATTTTTATAGAAAAAAGAAGTCAAAGTTGTGTTTTGGAGACCGTGTCGCTGTTATAAACGACTTTACGAGTACGGAGGGATTACGAGTGATAAATTCTTAAGTGCAATAAGAATTTCTTCATGAAGTTGGACCAATAGCGTAGAGCTTGGCGTCATGGGGATTCCTTGATACGGCCGCGTCGAAAAGGGAAGCCCGCATCAAGCGGCGGCCGGACGGCGACGTCTCGCTGGCGGCTGCTGCTGCTGGAGTCTCTCGTGGTATTCTCAACTGTTTGACTTCTCAGTCTCATCTCCTCGAACCGTCCGCCTCGGAGCTCGGAAGCCCCCAAACCCAACCAAACCACCGTGCACGCGCGCGATGGCTGTGGTGGAGGAAGAAGAGGGCTCGCCGCCGGCACCCGCCGCCGCCGCCGATCCCGCCTCCTCTGGTGAGCCTCCCTTTTCTCTCGCCTGCCCCACTCTACCCCGTACCAGCCCCGCGTGGCTATTGCTCTGTGGATGTGCTTTGTTTCTGAATTTCGGTGTAGAATGTTCTTTTTCTTTTTGTTGGGATCCAAAAGGAAGGCGTATAGATTATGTGCTTGGATTAGTTTGAGCTCCCGAGCACGCAGGCAGAATTCAAATCGTTTTGCAGTTTCCACCTTGATACAAGTACCCCAAATGATGCTCAAATCAAATGCTAAATTGTACTGGTAGACCTAATAGTGAAATTAATTATGACATGGCATCCCTTTCTCCCTTTGTTTTGATGAATCCGGAGAAACAAGTTCAAGTATAAATCGATTTCTGAATTTGCTTCAACTGTATAGAACGATACAGTTGATTTCTGTATAGGTCTACAGGAACAATCAGTAACCATATGGATTATGTCTATTGTCCTTTTTTTCTCTGGCCTGCTTTAAAACAATTCACTTCCAACAGAAATCTGGAAAAGAAAACCCCTGCATGCCTGGAGGCTGGAGTCCTAAGAGGAGCTTAAATGGTTCGGCGTGCTACATGATAGTGGATACTAGACAGCGAAAAATGTAGCTCACGTTGTCCCTTTCCTTCTAATCAACAAACACGCACTATTGGAAACTGAACATTGGATATAGTACTTCGACCCTACATTACAACATGACCAGTATAGAACCAGAATTTGTATTAAAATAGGGAGTACTTTATTAAACATGCTTCAATTTCCCTTTGTTCTTAACCCGTATCCTGGTTTTTCAGGTTCAAGTGATAATGAGATAACTGTAGAGGAAGCTTCTTTTGTGCATACTGAACCTCCGCAAGATGGCTCTGTCCCACCTGTGGTTTCCTCTAATATGGAGGTCCTTCATGACAAAGTTAAAAAACAAGTCATCAAAGAAGGCCATGGCAAGAAACCATCAAAGTTCGCGACGTGCTTTTGTATGTCATAAATGGTTTGATCATTCCCTATATTTATCCTGGTGATTTATAGAATGAGGCTAATATATTCCACCTTCATTAGCATTTGTCTTATCATCACATTTCATCTCGTTGTTGTTTCTATGGAAGTTCCATAATAAGAGAACTTATTCTCTGTGTATCAGGGGCTCAGAACATACATTTGTAAAGTTACATGTACTAGGGGCTCAGTATTTATGCTCTGTTGTACTATCTCCTAGCTCTCTGTTTCTTTTTTGTACACTTCTTTTTAACTAAATTGCCAGTACTGGAACTTTCTGTGGAAAGAGCTTCTTATTCAGATACCAGAAATCATGAAATACTTAACAGTATTTTAGGATGAACAATTCGATGTACGCACAGCCTTCTCTAACACCACAGGCTTACTAATAACTAGTGTGGCACATAGCAGCACCAAACTCATAACAACTTAGAGCAAATGATATTTAAAACTAGTCATGCACTTGTGCTTTGCTATGAATCATCAGCTTTGAGCACTTCTTACCAAGTGGCACGTCCATCATTTGTATAAGCATGTCAACGTCTGTCTATTACAGATCAATCTTCCATTCTCAGACCATGTATATACTTATTCAGAAGGAGAGCATCTGCATAATGTTTGTTTCTGTTTTTTCTGTTACAGTGCACTATAGAGCTTGGGTTCAAGGCTCTCTGCATAAATTCGAGGATACTTGGCAAGAACAGCATCCCATTGAACTAGTAATTGGAAAAGGTGAAAATAATGATACTTCATTTTATCCCTAGTTCTTCTACACTGCATGCATGCCTTCTATAGATGATACACATCAAATAGCTTACTCTTATGCCATTCTGATCTTATAGTGCCACAAATAATCTATGATTCTAATAAGGGTTTTGAAAATCAGTTGATCGATCAGCAACTTTCAACTTGCTATTGATATTCTAGTTTTTTTTTTGGGTGTGTGTGTGTGTGTGTGAGGGCGATTGACAACTTGCAAGGACATAAAGACTAAATAGTTATATTTTTATTACTAATATATTTCCCCCCCTGTTTTCTGATGGTTCACTAAATATACAATACAGGTACAGGGTAACTATATAACTTTCCTACAAATATCTTTTGGACACTCTTGAGCATGTAGAGTATACCTGGGATTTATCAGTGATTATCACATATGGAATAAAAGCCTTTTTCTCTTTTTACCGACAGAGAAAAAACAAATGTCTGGTTTAGGCATTGGTGTTGGTAACATGAGAAGTGGGGAGCGTGCACTGTTGCATGTTGGCTGGGAGCTAGGCTATGGGAAAGAAGGGAGCTTTTCATTCCCAAATGTCCCTCCAATGGCAGATCTTTTATATGAAGTTGAACTTATTGGGTTTGATGATGTCAAAGAGGTAGGGAAACATCCTTCTTACCATCTCCACCCAACATAATGCTTATCCTTATTATTTCTGATAGTAATCTGAGACTATTGTTGGTTGGTTTCATTTTATTTATGGTTTTCAAGGTGATTTGGATGTTCTAAGGAACCTTACAAATTGTGTACAACTGCAGGGGAAAGCCCGAAGTGACATGACAGTAGAGGAAAGGATTGAAGCAGCGGACAGGAGGAAGATTGAGGGCAATGAGTATTTCAAAGAAAAGAAGTTTGAGGAGGCCATGCAGCAATATGAAATGGTTAGTTGTCCTTCTTCAACTGTTGTGAGATGATTCTCTAATCGTAATCCTCTAGCTCCTCCTCTTTACAGGCGATTGCATACATGGGAGATGACTTCATGTTTCAATTGTTCGGGAAATACAGAGATATGGCCTTGGCTGTGAAAAATCCATGTCATCTCAACATGGCCGCATGCCTAATCAAACTGAAGAGATTCGATGAAGCTATCGCACAGTGTAGTATTGTAAGTTTTTTTTGTTTGCATAAAGTTCAATCTATTAAAACTCATGCTGTCACACTCACACCAGTCGGTTTGTGTATAGCTTCAGATGAATTAGGATTTTGATTTGACTTTCAGACAATAAAGACATACAACATGATATTATTATGGTAACTAGACGCTTGGACCAAAAAGTGAAGAATATAGTGCAGTTGCCTATATTTTCCTCAACTTATTTTTGTAAGACAACCCTCACTAATTTCATGACGTAACTGACCTGGCAATTCATCAAGTGAAGAATTTTTCCCCCTTTTTCCGAAACCGAATAATTATTGACTGGATGATGAACTCATAATCCTATTCTTCAGGTGTTGGCAGAGGATGAAAACAATGTGAAAGCATTGTTCAGACGAGGAAAAGCAAGAGCTGAACTTGGTCAGACAGAATCAGCGAGGGAGGACTTCCTGAAAGCCAAGAAACATTCCCCAGAAGACAAGGAGATCCAGCGTGAGCTTCGGTCTCTCGCGGAACAGGATAAAGCTCTGTACCAAAAACAGAAGGAGCTGTACAAAGGCCTCTTTGGTCCAAGGCCCGAACCCAAACCGAAGGCGTCAAATTCCATCGTTCGCTTCTGGCAGTGGCTCGTGTCCTTGATTGGTTATCTCATAAAACTGTTCAAACCCAAGAATGAATGAATAGGAACGGATAGTGCAGAACTGACGATTTGACGACCAAAACATGGACTCATTGTACTGTAGGCTGGGAATTCTACTACAAGTAGTTGGGAGTGTTGAACTGCACGCAATCGGTGTCAAATTCTACAATCTCTCGGCATTTTTGTGCCTTCAGTCCTTCACTGCATTGTGACTTGAGCTTTGGGAGCTAAAAGTTCAGACATTTTTCCTATGAACAATACATTGCCTTTATGGTGTCAATGATTTGGTATGTTATGCGGTGCTGAATAGTTGAATGATTTGTTACGATTATTTTGATGGTATAAATGAATTAATTAAATATTATAAAGTTAAAAATAAATTGAAAACCACTTTTCTAAGGAAACTCATATATACAAAAAGTATTTTACGTAAATCGCAAAAAATTGATTATAAGTCAACGCTTATTAGAAAAAAAAAACTTACAAGTAATATTTTGGCTTAAAATCTAATTATGTAAAACAAACTACAATAAAAAAAAATAAAAATCACCTCTAAAACCAAGTTTTAATTCAAAGTTTAGCTACGGCTAATAAGCTGAAAGAACAAACGATAGAACCATATAAATTTGAGAAACATGCATATTCTTATTTCGACCTGGTTTAGTTCCCAACTTTTTCTTCAAACTTTTAACTTTTCCATCACATCAAAACTTTCCTACACACACAAACTTCTAACTTTTCCGTCACATCGTTCCAATTTCCATTAAACTTTCAATTTTGGTGTGTTTATTGCCAATGTTTGAAATAGCACATCTGTCTCTCAAAGTTGGCATTTCAACATTTCAGGTGCCAGCAATAGGCCAACCTAGCAAAGCCAATGAAAGAAATCAAAGAAATTATTTTCCTAAAAAAGGAAAATAAGAAAAAAAAACACATTCTCTTTGCTGGCGCTGACGATGGAATACAGCTTGGCAATGGCAACTTGATCAACGGCTCCACCATCGAGCCTCCCTCTTGCTTTCCGTCCTCTTCTCCTCCAACCGCCCACCATCTCATCTCTCGCACGCACGCACGCACCCGCCATTGCTGATTGCACCTCCCCCCAACCCCACCTCCCCGATGGACGCCGTCGCGTTCCCGCCGCCGCCCGCCCCGTTCCTCGACGACGACCTCGATTTCGGCGACTTCGCCTTCGCCGATCCCCAGCCCGCCGCCGCCGCCGCCTTCGACGCCTTCGGCGCCTACGACGACGACTGGGGTGACTTCGTCGACAGCCGCCTCGGATCCAATCCGGATGGTGGCTCGTCGGCGGCGGCCCCGGCGGAGAAGCCGCCCTCCTGGGAGAAGCCGCGGGGCCCGCTCCCCCTCTCCCTGTTCGGCGCCGACGAGGACGAGGAGGAGGAGGAGGGACCGGCCGAGCTGCCGCCGACGGCTGCGGATCAGCGGGGAGCGTCGCACGCGTCCTCCAATGGATCGAAGCCGGCTGATCTCAAGGACCTCATCGCCGGCCTCTATGGATCTCACCCGCAACCCTCCTCCACCGACGCCGCGGAGGTGGGTACACAGGAGGGGTCAGCGGTAGCGGCGGCGGAGGAGGAGGAGGAGGATGGTGACGGATTCGAAGATGATGGCTGGGAATTCAAGGCCGCGGCGCCTTCTTCTTCGTCGGATGCTGTACAGGATGGCGGCAGACAAGCCCATGGGGATCTTACTCAGGTGAGCCTTTCTTACTGTTGATGATGCTAACCTTGTGACCTTAACTACCTTTCAGAAATTTGATGGGATGTATGGCCGACCAACCATGTAGTGACAATCATGAATCATCACGGTCTGAAAATAACATATCGGTTGGTTTATTGTGATGTTGCACTCACAACAAACCTGATGAATGCAACTCGTTTTCAGCTCATGGGGATCCATCCAATGGCAATTGTCGGTGGAAGGCAAAATAGGTGGAAACTGTTAAAATGAGACAATTCATCAATTGCAAATAATCCCACTTCAGAAAATTTTGGAGCTAACCTTCGATGAAATTGTCGTTACGACCTGCCTCACGAAATTAAATCAATAAATCATGTGATTGTATTCTTCAAGTTGAACAGTCAAGCTGCCTAGAAGGATTTTTATTGCCTATTACAATCTGTATACATAGTATAAAATTCTGACTTACGGAGTAGTAAATTTAACAGCACACAGACATTGTTATAAGAATTCCCTAGTCCCTGCTAAACAAAGGATGAATTTTATCCTTATATATCTTTTGATTAAAAAAAAATTTCTGAAATTCTAGCATTAGAAATCCTGTTATGACCTCTTTCTAGTTTTTTTTTCTGTATTAGGTCTTGATATGTCTATGGCCTTCTCCACTGATTGGTCTGAATCTTTTTATTTTGTCAGGATGTACCAAAGTCAATGAGCAGCGACCAGGAGGGCTGGTCATTATTTACTAGTGTTAGCGAAAATTTGAACAATGTTCAAACTACAGATCATGTTGGAACTCGTGAGTCCGCTGGACAAAGTGTGAAGGCCTTTAGTTATTTTCCACCCAATAATGCAGCCATACTCGACCTGTACAAAGAAAGTGAACCGATTGATGCTGTCCACATTATGCAATGTTCTTCAGAAAGTGTGCAAAGCTCTTCTGATATGTTCTCTAATACTGAAATGGTGAGTATTCATGGTATTTCGGCTCCACATTCACCCCCTTTTTCCCCATGTGATACAGACTAATGATCAGTGATCAGAACTCTTCATTTGGAACAGATGAAAACCATTCAATTAAATCAGCAAGTGATAGGATTTTGATTGATTTCTACCATAAGCTGAGAGAAGAATCATTGACGGTAATATCCCAGTACAAGAAGGATCTTAAGGTCAGTCACTACTGATTATATTCTGATAAATCATTTGGTTATCTTCCGTTCATAATTTTGTAATTGATACGGATTCAGGAAAGCCAGAAGAATTCTATGCTTTCTGATGAAAAGAATGAAGTGATGACAGAAACTGAAAGGGAGATTCAGGTGTGCTCCGCTTAATGTTTTGCTATAAATTATTTTATTCTTGTATGTTTATCAAAGCATGACTTTTTCACAACTTGCTTGTGTATTGTTATATTGATGTGCATGCAATGCACTTTTGATCCCGACAAATTTATTTAATGTTGTGAGACATTGAGTTTGTTTCTAGGATCAACTCAAGTACTTGATATTATTGTTCAGTGCAAAACATGAATTAAACATAATATTTTGTTTAATCATTTTCCATAATCTCCAGGAAATTTGCAAGGAATTACAAGATTCTTCACTTGCGAAAGGTTTTTGCAAAGATGAACATCCTTCAAAGGATGTTTGCATTTCTGAGCTGCTTAACAGTGCCAAAGAGGATCATTTGAAGGATTTTGATAAAGAATACCATTTAACAGAAATAATAGCAATGGTAAGCATCCTTATCTAGGAAATATAATTTTTGTCTCATTGTCTATAGACTCTATACACCTTATTGTCTTTAGGCATTTATATATCCTGCTTTTTGACAAAAAAGAAAAAATGTTTTTTTTATTACACTGTCAAATCTTGTAATTTATATCAAGTTACTTTAGATCAGTACACTTGTTTTCTTAAATTCTTTGGCGGATAGTCTTCAGTAGTCACATGCACATTTTCTTTTGTAGATGATAAACATAATTAAATGTGAAAATGATATTGTGCTTTTCTATAAGCTGCATTGAACTTGCCTCCAAAGTGATATATAGATTGTACCAGGCAAAGTGATTCATAGATGACATGTCATTTTGCTTGATTTCAGTATACGTATGTGCACTTAATGTTTCTGTTTGCCATTACCTTCTGCCCTTGTTTCCATGAGTCATGACATGATCTTGATTGGGTTATTGAAATTTCTTGATATGATACTCAACGTAGGCACTGGAAGACATGAGTTCAGCTGTTAAACTCTATAAGCACAGCGTGTCAATCCTTCGTACCTTGGAAATAGCATCCAAAGAGGAGCAATGTGATTATGTCAGTGCATGGTACAGTATGCTTCTGTCCTGTGCCCAAGAATTGCAGCATGGTGCGATGATTTGGCAGGAATCTTGTCATGCAAATGTTGGCGAAACAGTAATTTCTCAAGGTGGGACTCTGAATAATGAGCAGAGCTGTATAATTTGTTTTTTCGGTAATCATTTGCTTGCAGAAAGATGATCAACTAACATGCCTTCTGTTGGTTGCACAGGTGCTCATTACTTTATTGCTCTTGGGGAGATCTACAGAGTTGCACAGATCTTACATATATCCATGCTATCTTTCAAGCCTTGGGTTCTTGCAGATCCTGGAATGTTGAGTAAAATGTTGGTTTGTTGGAACAGCTGCGTTAATTCATGGACTAGTGGTTTAGGAATGGCTCTTACAATGGTTGTCGACAGCAAGAACTTACATGCACCTGTTGCTAAAGTTCTTCTCGAGTCTATCATCAATATTAATGACATTGAGGTGCCCAATCTTCAAAGCTTCCTTCCCAGTGACAAGATGGCATGTAAACTTACCCTCTTGCCCACTAGTCTTGTACCTGGTAAATACTTATCCTGCAGTTACCTCTTCCCCGCAAAGGACTTTTCAACTATGGGATGCTTCTATCAACCAACTAATAATTATTTTCTTCACCTGATGTAGGAATGGAGGTCATCATTTGGGATGCCGATCACTACTTTGTTAAAGTTGCAAATCTGTGGGCTAATCAGATATCTTCTGACCCTCCCCAGTTTTCAGTCTCTCGTGTTGCTTAAATTAGCAAGGAAATCAACAATTGTCCATCAAGCAACCTGTCAATGACGTGGGAACGGGATTGCCCCTTTTAAGAGAAAACTTGACTACTTATGATAGGACCATCGGAAGCTAAAGATTCTCCTGCACAACTGCTTCTGGAAGGTTAACAGTATTGGTCAATGATCATTCTTTTGTGCAAGTAGCATTTTGCACCATTTTTTACGTAGTGCTTGGCAACAGCACTAGTATGGGAAGCCAAAATGTTCCTTTAGCTACACATTCTGTTTAGACTGGACTGAAGTACAGCACATTGAAGTGTACAAACTGCGAAATCCAATGGGTGCATGCAATGCAGTAATAGACGTGTATAGATTGTAAGCTTAAATAATCGGTATAGAGGAGGGAGAGATGAGGCTGTATTGAGCTGATTACAAGCTATATAAATCAGCTGTTTGTTGTGACCTTTTCAGCAACGTCAGGTTTGTTCAGACATCATAGCCCATTTCAGCAAATGAGATCTGCAAATGATGTGGAATGTGTATGATTCTAGCTGACCCCAGTTGCTTTGTAATAAGTTAGTAAACCTGGAAGTCGCCGACCACAACAGGTTATCTGTTTTTGCTGTTTTAACATAGTTATTTTCTGTTTAAGTTCTTGTGTGGAAAACATGCCTGAATAGCAAGGAAGATTACATTGCAACCAAAATTAGCAGTTATTTTCTCTCAAGTTCTTGTGTGGAAAACATGCCTGAATAGCAAGGGAGATTACATTTCAACCAAAATTAGATCTGCGAATTTGATTGGAGCATTGAGATCTTCAACCATGTCATGTCCCTTAACCCTTGCTATATCACATGATCACATTTTTCTAGGGAACACGCAAATCACATCAGCACATTGACAAAGGTGGAACGAACATCAAAAGACCAAAGGGTACAGTACCGATTTCATTATTCCATTTGCCCATCGAAGTGATATGATGCATTGAAATCTGATAACTTACATAACTAAAACGTAGTTGTTTCAAATAGTAAGGCAAATCCTATGATTACACCATAGGAAAAACTGCTCATTGGAAAGCCTATATAGGAATTATACATATAGCCAAGAAGCATCGTTTTTGGCCTAGTCAAAATCTGGCAAACCATGACTTGCCGTAGTATCATCAACAAGCACAAGCTGGTCGTCTAATCGTCCAGCTCAATGATCTTCACAACCGAGGAATCACCCACTTTCTGGCAGACAACAACGCGATCATGCGACTTGATCACACCGGAAGCTTTGCCATGGTCAAGAGCAACCTTCAAAACTGACTCATTGGTAGCGCTGGTCGATTCAGCCTGCAGGACAAGGTGAAAGATCAACAAGGGTCCTAGCAAATCGTTTGGAACTTAACTGCATATACCGCTATTGCTTTCAAACATTTGTGGTAGATAACATTTCAATAACAGTGGGACATGATGCAAGCAATAAGACTAGCATGTTATGTTTAATGCTATATATCTAATAGGCATTGATATGTATTAGAAATCTGCAAGAGTTCATTCCTCCCCCATGATAAAAGGCCGTGTGTTGTTTAATTGAAAAAGAATCCACCAAGTGTGTTTTGCACAAATATTTTGCAATAGTACTTACTGGATGGCGAGGATCAGCAAGCATCGGAAAGAGACCTCTAACTATGAGTGATTGTCTTGCCTGAAAGAAAAGCATACGAGAAATATGAGATACAATAGTCAGGCATAAACCAGATAACAGAAAGCATGTTACATGAAAAAAATCAGAAAAAAGATCATAAACATAGAAGGGAAGGACTGATTACATACTTCAAATGCGCCAGTGAAACTCCACCTCAGTTGGTTTGTTTTCAGACGAGGAATGACAACAGATAGAACAGGCATGGTGGGCCTGTACTTGGCAATTAGTCTGCAGACATTACAGATACCAGATGAAATATGAAATTAGTTTTGATTAAACTACACCATTATCCTGTTTATATTCACATCTTTCTACCTTGCAGCGCGTCCAGATGATGTGAAGCAAATAATGACAGAAGCCTTCACTTTGATAGCAGCTCGCACCTGCAAAATAGGCAAGAAACAATTTCAGACTAAGAAACCCTTGTTTCATATAAAGACTTTGTGAAGCAAAAAACAATGGAATAGTCAAAAATATTTTATATGTGCACAATAAACGTTAAGAAATTTTGGGAACAAGAGAAGAAACACACCGCAGAAGAAGCGATAGACTCCAAGTGGGTCATGGGCTCCCCAACATATTTCACAGTCCGCTTGAAGTATAAATCTTGGTTGAATACCTTCTCTGCCTGTGAAACAATGGACAAACAAATATGACTAAATCATGTTACTAACAGACTGATATAGACAGAAAAACAAGAAGTGAATTTTCATTGTACTTGTTGAAAATTGTAAAGAAAAAACATAAAAGTAGAAAGAAAATTCACCTCAGCGCAAATTTTGCCCACAATTGAGATAGTCTCAACTGGGTACAGACCACGGAGAGTCTCAGCACCAAGGAGAATGGCATCACTCCCTGAACAAAAAATATATGGTTCAGATTTTTCAGAAGGCAATTAACATCATCAACAACTCAAACAACTCACCGTCAAGTACAGCATTTGCCACATCAGTAGCCTCCGCACGAGTAGGCCTGAGGTTGTCAGTCATACTGTCCACAACACGAGTAACAACAGCAGGCTTTCCAGCCATGTTGCACTTGTGCAGAGCAGACTTTTGAAACAAAAACACCTACAGTACCAGAAGTTAAAGATCAGTAAGCAAATTACATATCAAATTGAAAACAGAGCAATTCTTGCTAAAGAACTTGAGGACTCTGCCACTAAAAGCTTCATAGCCAAATAAAAAGAAGCAGAGTATGTAGGACTATTAATTAATCAATGCCCTCTGAACTGCTAAAATAAGTCAAAAATAAGATACTAACCTTTTCAGGTGGAAGATCAATTCCAAGGTTTCCTCTTGACAGAATGATACCATCCGCCTCTTGCAGGATTTCATCAAAATGATTCAAACCCTGCAAATAATTAAAGAGTTGATAGGTGGTAGAACAAATCAAAGTTGGCTAAGAAATATATAAAGAGTATGTTGCAAATACCTCAACATTCTCAATTTTGGCAAAAATCTGAGTTTGGCTAAGGTCGCCTAACTTTGAGAGGAACTCACGTGCCTGTAATGTAAGGAGAAATTCCAGCACTGTTTAGAATTTCTTCCCAAATACCAAATGAAGAGGTAGAGGAGAGTATATATTGGAATATAGACATGCAATATTTTCACTGTACAGTAGACTTGCAAAACTTTCAAGCACAACGGGCAAACAGGAAATATGAGGAAAATGCATCTCTATCCATACTGTAATTAGTCACTAACCTGTCGCACATCTTCCGCGTGTCTTGTATAAGACAGAGAGAGGAAGTCAATCTTGTTTGGAGCTCCCCATCTTCTGATAACCTGGAATCAGTGCATACTCTTAAGCTTTAATACCACTACTACAGATGGTTTGAGTGAGGGAATCAAACTTCAGAAATAATAATAGTTTTACTAGAAATATTCATATTGCTACAGTTAGCTAAGAGATAAGATCGATCCTTACCTCCTTGTCCTCATCAGACAGTGTAGGTAAGTCGATATGAATCTGAGAACAATGCAGGGTGAACAGTGAACCAGCCAGAGTAGCCGAATTTTTTATCACACAAACCACATCATCTCCTTTAACTTCAGAAACCTATATCAAGCAGAATGGAGATTAGGTATCAGAAAATGTAGACAGCAAGCACATCCTACTAACAAGGACGTAACACATTACACATCACAAACACAGAACACCAGTTTTAGCATGCTGAAGATTTTTACCTCTAACCAAACTGAAGTAGTCTCACTGCCAGTGAACAAGTATTGCCCCACAAAAATTGTAGCACCTGGTTTCAGAGCCTGCAAAGGACAAAAAGAGTCAATTTTTTTCACATAGCAGATGCTACAAATTGCGGTGACGTAATGGTAACATACAAAATTTCTCTAGGAAACAGTCAAGGACCGATCTGATTGCAACAAAAGTAAAAACAATCATAATATTTCATATAAATAACACTGAACTACTGAAGGTATACCTTAGCAAGCCCGGAGAAGTTGATGGGCAGCAATTCGGAGGAGGCCTCCTGCCCCTGGTCAGGGGTGAGAACAACAGTGCCATTCGCTTCAAGGGAGATTGCAGCCTCACTCTTGTTCACCACCTGCAACTCCGGGCCGACAGTGTCGAGCATGACCTGCGCAACAACGAGAGGACTCCCAAATGTTAGTAGACAGCAAGACTAACTAGTAGATCATGAATGAATTGTCAGGAGAACTCACAGCACAGAGCTTCTTGGTGGACTTGATGGCGAGCTTGAGGTTTTCGAGGGTTTCCTGGTGGTACTCAGCGTCTCCCCACGAGAAATCGAACCTGGCAACTGCAATTTCCGCCACACACGAAGAAAGGATTAGATTAGAACAGTGCGCAATGGGTGGAGGTAAGAGGAGATCGAAGCTGGCTGATCCGTTACCCGACATGCCGGCCTTGAGGCAGGAGGAGATGGTGTCGACGGCGCGCGACTTGGGACCCAGCGTCCCCACGATCTTGGTCATCGCCGGGAAAAAGCTCTTGGAGGCGAAATTAATTAAGCGAGTTAGGGTTCCATTCAATCCAATTCCAACCAGAACCAAAACCAGCAAAAATCTGAGGCGAAATCATCGAAGGCGAGGAGGAGGAGGAGGTCTTACCGGCTTGGATGGCTCCAGGATGGATGCCATCCTGATGGGCTCCTCCAGCAGCAGATTCGTCGAATGCATCTTGCCCCTGTTCGCTTCGCTCCTCGGATCAGATCGGGAGGTAGACGACGAGCGTCAGCGGCTGCTCGATCTCCTCCTCCTCCTTCTTCTTCTCCAAGGAATCAATCAATCAATCGAGGCAGCGAGGCGTGTGGGTTGTGTGTTCCTAGCTTTCACCTCTGGAATCCAATACAATAACGAAGACGCCTTTTTATTTGGGAGAAGAAAAAAACGTGGAATCGCAGCATATGCCTTGCCTGCCTCCAGCAACACAGTTAATCCGCGATGCGAAACGGTGGATGCTGACATCCGCGGGTTTGGACCGGTCCCCTCCACCACCACCACCGGTTTCGGCCGCACCAGGGAATGATGGCGTTTGGATCTACTCGCTCGGTTCAAAAACATCTTCACTTTGGTTTTTATATCTAACGTTTAACCACTAGACTTATTTAAATATTTTATAAAAAATATTTAAAAAACATAATTTATACATAAAGTAATTATTCGTATTTTATTGTCTAATGGCAACAAAATACTTATCATAAATAATTTTTAAATAAGAAAAAGGTCAAACGTTGTATATAAATTCCTACGAATGAACTTATTTTTAAACGGAGGGTGTATAGTAGATCTTTTTTTTTTTAAATTTCAAAAAAACTATAACTATAGTGCAAAACTATCAGTTTGCAGCAATATTAATAACCTATTTTCGGTTTGTTGCAATGATATTATACAAAATTATTACAAAACTATACTTTTACGTGGCCCAAGCTTACTGTTATCACCTACACATACTACGCAAAGTTACAGTTTTATGATGATTTCCTACGGTATAATTACAACAAACTGAAATATGATGCTAATGTTGCAGCAAACTAATAGTTTTCTCACTATAATTACAGTTTTTCTAAAATTTACTTTTTTTTTCTCAGTTATTTGTAAGTAATTATTACATTTGAGTTTATAATATTAGAGACATTTTTTATTACATGGTAAACGCATACGCACACACATCACTACCCGGATAACACCATACTTACATTCTATAAAGAAGCCCCCTAATTCATGCTTAAAAGACGAAAATCAACAATACATTCTTTGATCTCACTAAATTTATAGGACAATTATAGTAACGAGAATTCTAATCGAGATTATAAAAACCAAGGGACAAATATATTAAAATTAGATAAATCAGAAGACAAGACAAAATGAAGTTATTATTTTAGAATGAAGCAAGACAAAAAAGAAAAGCCGTGCCTAAACCGGCCTCCAGAAGGTTCTTTTTTCCCTTGTCTCCTCTCCTCTTCATCCCACGCGTCACGCGGTCAAATTCGTTTCCACGCTTTGAATTTCTTTTCAGCTTAAAAGAAATCCAAACTTTGATTTCATGTTCCCTTTTTCTTCGCATTTGCTTTCTTCCAGAACATTGTTTATGACAGTTACAGAAAAAATAGAACATTGTATTATCGATTGATGCAGCAGTTTTCACCAAGATACTGCTCTGTTTCTATTTGACCGGAATGAACGGATTCCGATTCTGCTTCTAGAACAGATGTGTCTGGCACGCCAAGAAGTGCCGATGGTATTTGATTAACACTTTCTGATCCCATCGTCAATACTCCATGACCCATTTGCAAGGCTCCGGTTTCCTCTCAGACTGGAGTTAACAATTCACGGAGGAACGCAAAATGCTATTCGTCAACCACAAATACTTGCAAACCTCAATTGCTTCTTGAGCAGTTGGACATGCTTGCATTATACACAAACCAACTTGTATATGAGAAGAAAAGAACTATGCACTATATTATGATATATTATGACAGTAGCAAATTCAACGATGAACTCCAATATTCCATTCAAAAAATGTAGACAAATGTACCCAAACGTAAAACACAGTTTGCAACTAGATCATGCAGGAAAATCAAAATTTGGCCATGATAATTTTAATCGTGCAACAAATTTTTAACAGAAATTTGAGGAGAGAGGTCTCTCTCAGAAAAAAGGCAATGCCAAAATACAATTTCAGCTTGGCGTTCAAGTCTAACAATATAACATACAGTGTTGCAGCAGAATTTTCAAATATGGTTGTTATTGCTTAGGCAGTTGTGATTAGTTCCAGAAGGGAATCACAAATAAGCTTCCTTCAGTCCATCCTCCGTCATGCTTTCAGAATACACCATCTTGTATCCTGCACCAAGGAAAACAATGATGCCCATCTGTATCTGAAATAACTTAAGTCATAGTTCAGTTCAAAGAAATGGCAGGCAAAGTATCATGGGCAGTCAAGATCATAAAAGAAAAGGAAATCGTTATGAGCATTCACTAGTTGTACTAAACCATGTACCTATTGGCTGCAGAAGGCATATAAAGTTGCTCTTTGGACATTCATCTAACTCAAGTCACGATTGTATTAAAAAATGATAATAGGGTCATTCCTCAGTTCAAGTTGTATTGGAAACCTTAATAGTACAAGTATGCCCGCGAACATGAAGCTTACTGAACTCAAAGTACAAAAATATGGTGACAACCACAGCAATGGAAGGAGCATGAAAAGAGGGATGGAAGTACATAGACACTATACACGAACACAACAACATTGTGTACCTATGTAATATCCAGTTGGGCTGTCCCACGTTAGTGTACCCTTCACCAAAATACAGTTTATACTTTGGTTTGGCTCACTAGTTTTGGGGCTGTCTAAGTACATGAACCAGTGCCATTAAAATTAAAATGAAATCAAATGTGATCAAGATTGTTTTAAAGAAAACATTTGCTATACTCTTGAGATTTCCTATTGTAATATCATACTATAGATCATATTGTATTTTGCTGTTGACTACAGAGAGGGAAGTAGAATAATATTGGTGCCTCTAGTAAGTTTTGCTTCTTCCATAAACAAGGGCAAAATGACTGCATAAAGCTTGCACACATAAAGAAAGGGCTAGTATTTATATGCTCAAAAGATAAGTGAATTCCATTAAATCAAATATAGCATAGGATAATCAATCTTAACTCTATAGCATTTTCTGTTGCTAACACCATATTAAGAGATATAGCATAAGAAATGTCTTTGGTCTCAAATTTTATAATGAATTTAAAAAAGCTAACGGAGCAGCAAAAACTCAATAAACCTCAGAGAGCTGTGGTATTTTTGATAGCGTCAAGAATTGTTGTTTCCAGTTTATCCTCAGCAACCCACATAGAGCTTTTCTTGCGCAAGAGCTCCCTGTGATCCGCCTTCTTCTGTACTTTAAGCTTCTCCTTCTCCCTCCAGCTCTCCAGCTTCTCAGCTCTTTCTTTCATCTGTACATGATCTCATCTCAGTTATACACATATATACTTCGCTGGGTCTTTTTATTTTACACAAGATAATTGAAACAAATTAAATTTGCAGAAAATTTCTAAAAACATGTAGTATACTACTTAATCCTCTAATAAGAGACTCGTTCAGCAAACTAGGCAATTCAACAAACAAGTCGTGTGCAAGGGTGGAGAATGCGAAATAGGGGGGAAGAGAGGGAGAGGGGAGGATACTCACAAGGGCTTGGCGGAAGTCCTTCTCGAAGGCGCGGCGCTCGGCGGCGCGCGTCTGCGCGGCGGCGGCCTTGGTGGCCTTGCGCTCCTCGTTGGCGAGGCGGGCGGCCTCGGCGCGGGCCTCCGCCTTGCGCTGCCGCTCGGCCTCCAGCAGCTGCATCTCGTACGAGTACTGCCTCCGCAGCTGCCGCACGTCGCGCGCGTAGCCCTTGCGAAGCCGCTCCAGCCGCGCCCACGCCTCCCGTGGGTCGCCCGCGGGCTCCCAGCTCCCGAGGTAGTCGCTCGGCTTGGAGAACTCGTGGGGCTCAGGCCTCGCCATGGCCTGAGAAGTGGCGTGGAAGCCGCGGAGGAGAGGGCGCAGGAGGTGGTGAGGCCGGGAGGTCGAGAGCGCCATCGCCGCCGTGAGGGGGAGCAGATCGCCGTGGCTGTGGCTTTGCCGGCGACAAGGTGGAAAAGGGAAAACCCTCCTGCGGCTTCACTCCCATTCACGGGATCGTTTGGTATGGTCTACTTCTCGGCCCATTTATGCATATGGGCCTGCATGTGTGTCGTCCTGCTAGGCCCATTTCTACAATCTGGGCCTGTATGATGTGACGTCCTGCTCGGCCCATGTAGAAATGCAACTACGCTGGAGGCCTATATGATGTTTTGAGTGATGAGAGACCAAAGAGCAGCAGGAATTGAACTTGCCTCTTTCACAAAATCCATGCAAAGTTTCCTGCTTATACAATATAATGGGGCATCACAATCTTCTTGTGCATTGAAGTGGCTCGTGTGGCTCGGTGAAGCATTTTGACTGTACGATTCAAAAGTAAAAGCAGAAAGAAACATAAAAGCCATGACATTATGAAAAATATAAGGGTAAAGAGTAAAGACGTGAAAAATGATCTTTCCTATAGTCGTACTCGTACAGCCACCGCACGTCCACACCAGAAAAAGGCAGAGCAACAAGCATCTTTAATCAGAGGAAAAAGCCGAGGCTATATATATCAAGGATATCGCATCCACTCGGAGAAAGAGGCACTTCTATTCTTTTTCTGAGGGAAAAAAAGGGGCAAAAGAATCCAAGACAACACATTGTCAGGAACATGGCTTCCAAAGTCCAGAGCTCCTATATAACACGTAACTAAGAGCAATCTAATCCTATAATCCTCCCCTTAAAAAGAAAACCGCCTAGATGAATGGAAAACGGCTTTTTCGATCAACCATTCATTAATATATGTACAGTTCGCCGAAAACCTTGGTTGTCAAACCATATTGCTAAGGTGTGTCCAGTAATCAACGCCACAACTCCCAAACGGTCAGTGGCACTGACAATGCCAAATAGCTAGAAGGGAAATTTTCCCTCGCTCCTCCTTGGTGTGCTTCATGAGATTTCTTCTACAGATCCACCTAAACACAAATTATGCTCAGAACCATAAACCAAATTCTTGTTAAACTGAAAAATTCAGGTAGTATTCAAAGATAAAATGCTGTGCTTACCTTCGACTGTAATTAGACAGCTGCTCTATGCAGCTCTCAGGTAACAAGTGCAATGAAAGTTTGAAGCTCATCATCGCCACTCCCGGCAGGCACCACAACTCCAATCGGCACTATCTGATGGCTGTTCACCATCCTCCCAAGGCGAGCAATGACGGTGCATCTGCAGTCCACATACTGCGCATTTGAGATCAGGTGGCGGCTGAGGATTCTTGCACCTGTCACATGCTACCTCGTCAGAGGCGGAGTCAATAGCTGGGAAAGGCATGTTTGAGGCCCCATCTTCCATCATGAAAGCCATTTCATCAAAACCAATTCCTTGTTGGTCACCATCATCTTGCACACTATTAGACATCCCAAATGTATTATCGAACTGTGTATCATCAGCTTCAAGTAGTTCGGTGAATGAGAAATAAGTCTGTGGTTCATATTCATCACCAGCAACGCTGCCACAGCTGATGTCATTCCACGGGCAATTAGCTGCGAAATCAGAAGGGGCAGCACTGGTATTTCCTTGAGAAAAATCCCATCCCAACAGCTCTGAAGCATCCACACCATCAGCCTCTGACAAAGAGAATTCATTCGAGTGACTGAAATTGATGTTTGCATTCCCTTGAGGTTGATTCTGGATATAATAGTCATCCACATGTATACTGGATTGGTCAACATATTCACAATTTTTGTTTTGTCCCCTTCTTACTGATAGTTTCTGATTTCCTGGGTTAAAGCTCATCATGTTCATCGATAAATCAGCATCCATTGTTTGTGCTCCAAACGGTTCAACTCTGCCATATGAAGCAAGCAGTGGATCTTGATCTGCTACAGCAAAATTCTCCTCACTAGAAAGCATAGTTGACTGTGATGACGTAGCGACTGTTTGCTCACTGTATTCTGGTTCAGGCTTCTTATAATCATCTGAATGAGGACATTTTGGTATGGCTCGCCTTCGGCATCTGCAACATCGGTATGAAACCAATTCAAATATCTTTTCTTCCTCAAGTTGCAAGGCATCGCCATGAAACCACTCTGAACAAAGAAGAATATCAAGAAGTTAAAATCTGATAGATAACACACACATATATATATATACATAACTTGAAGCTACAAGCCTACAATAATGATAGACGGGCTTACTTTTGCACCTCTCGCAGCGGACATACAGGAAATCTGGGCAATAAGGCTTATTACAAAGACAGCAAGTAGGTTTTATTGATGAACCTACACCATCCTTGCCTTTTAGGATAACATCATTCGCCCTGAACACTTCTCCAGAATTTTCATTATTATTTTTGTCATTAGTGCTTTTCTTCCACACGAGACCAAAGTATTTGATCTCTTCAGTCTTCTTGGATTTTCTCGGTTTTTCTGGCTTGGGTTTTTTAGATTTTGTCTTAGGCTGGACTTGCGCCCCTGCATTATTCTGAGTTGCCAAATTCGAAATTGGAAAGGCTTCCACTTTTGCAGTTGGCTGTGCTTCTACATTTGCAGTTGGCTGGGTTTCCATCTTCACAACTGGCCAGGTTTCCTTCTTGACCACTGGCTGGGCTTCTACCTTCACGATTGGCGGAGCTTCAACCTTTGTGGCTGGTTCAGCGGAATGGGAAGAACCAACCTTAAAGATTATTTTGGGAGCTGCCACTGCGTGATGGACATTACTCTTCTGTTGAGGTAGGATGAAACTTGCGTTTGTATTGTAATTTGTAAGCATAAGACTACGCTTCTGAAGGCACAACTTGCATGTTAAACTGGAAGCAGCATTGCCCTCTTTGCTACCAACAGACCTTAATGTGCACTCTTTATGACAATTACCTGAAACATTGTTTTAGTTACTATTGTGAGTTCATATTGGAAAAACGTCAGTAATTTATCAGTTATTCTCTACTTTAAGGAAATAGCAAAAAAAAAGGGGGTATGCTAGAAACCCGTACCTTGACAAGAGCTGCATTTTATGATATCCCTACATAAGATTAACAACAAAGATATATGAGAAATAAAGATAAAGCAGCATCTTATAAAGAAAACAATAACAGAATGAACAAAGCAATAAGGTGTAGAACAAAAACCTGAAGGAAACATCCTTCTTGCATGAGGTGCAAGGATATACATCACCCTTGTGAAGCAGATAGAAGAAAACATCTCCAATTGATGATTTTACTCGCCTTTGGTAGAAATTGGCAAAACAGTTAGAATCTAACATTCCTGGAGTAGGCAAGGAGCTAACCCCAGCTTTCTGCTCAAATTCTCGTAGCAAGTATAGTGGGATATGGTTTTCAGAAAACCAAAATTTCCCATCCCCATCCTGATTATCTTCTGCTTCCAAAATATTCTTTGTTACACGGACAGGAAGATGCTTCTGGTTGGGAAACTTAAGTGCATATCTTATCTTATTGTCAACTATTTTTTTATCACAAACAACTGCGTTTCTGAGAACAGAATAGTCAGAATCTACACTTTTCCCTTCTGAAGGAATTTGATCTGGAGGGATGAACTCCTTCCATCTTATGTGGGAATCAAGATATCTAACCTGTGAGATAGATATGTATATTAGGAATACATATAGCTTGATCTAAATACTTCAAAACATCATGATAGAAGGTGCTAACCTGGAGAGCAAGTTGAGATGAACTCTGGCTTAATCCAACACATGCCCTCCAAGCAAGTTGCCGAGTCCGCCTTGGAAAATTGGAGCCTTCATGATAAGACACACTGAACATCCTTTTTTTTCCACCTAGTGAGCGACAGATCATGTCAACTTGTTCTCACCTTGAGACAGAGAAAGGGATAATAATAACAGACAGACATGTGCAATACCTTGACGAGCAGCTTTTCTAATGGTCAAAATTGGTAGAGCCCCCCTCTGTAAGATACGCTTTGAAACATTTCCTCCACTCCACCAATTCACTTCTTTCCAGCTGTTGTCATCATCAGTAACAGGAGCAGATTCAGATGCCATTGAACGTTTTCTGCCCCGCCTTCCACCAGTTCCACGTTTTTGGTATGCTGCAGGACGGGATGCACCAGCAGATGCACTAGGAGATTCCACAGGCCAGTCATCTATTAGCTTCAGCCAGCTAGTAGAAAATGCTACACCACGAATATTACTTTCCAACTGCACAAAAGATGCAAAGAACAAATAGATAATAAGATCTCAACCTGTCATTTGTATTTATTTTACACCAACACTTGTTGAAACAACATTTCAAGTTTATTTTACAATTATTTATTGCATGTCGAACTTGATTCTCCAGAAGCACTTAGCACAAGATATAATTAAGCAAAATATGACACTGTATTTCAAAATTCCATGCTCTACCCACTAAGAATTTCAGCATCGAGTTCATTTTATCATCCAAGAGTTGATTTTGGGGTCTGTCACTCTCCACCATTGGTGGATGAGAATTTGTCACTCGAATGCCTCATGTCAGTGAGAAAGAGAGTGGCTGATCCTCAAATGGCACTTTACACTTATGAAGAGTGGCAAACCCTACATGTAAAATATATATCTAGCCCAAGATGCATAGCAAGACTGAAAAATGTGCTACCAGATTCATAGTACTAGTATATATCCCATCCACCCAAAATCCCTTATAATTTGGGACAGAGGGAATATTTCCTTTTATTTTCCCATCAGTCATGGCATCATCCAGGCAAAATAAGATAAGCTCAGGTTTGAAAGAAGTTAACAAGAAACTAGCCCATACCTAGGGTTCAAATAATTCATAATAAAACACTGGAAATACATATCCCAGTAGTTGTATGATTATAAATGTTAACTGCTACTACTGTGGGATACAATCAAGTTTCAGGTTTAAAGAATTCATGATACAACACATTTGACTGGCATGTATATAACTAAGGATTTGCCTAGTAACAGAGAAATTTTAGAATATGTTAAACATGATGGCACACTTTGAGAGTTATAAACTACAAACTATATATATCATGAATAATTGTAGAATATTGAGAAATATCAATGGATGCTGAAACAAACTTGACTCGAACCCTATAACTCACTTCAAGCAAGAGGGGTATTATATTTCCACAGTTGGAAGCATCTTTTAGTTGATTATACCACTGTTGTCTCCGCTGCACATCTTGTAGTGAACCAACTAAAAGGCCACGCAAACTTTCCTCCATGTGGCTTAAATAAGTAACAATGCTGGGGAAATGGCTATCAGAATTCTTGATTAAACGCATGCCACTAAGAATTCGAGCAGATCCTTTAGAAGCATTTGCAGTGGCCATGTTAAGAAAACAAGCTTTTTTAGTTCCACCTGCTGAACTTTGACAGGCAAGGCACCAACCACATCTATCTCTTGGGACTTCCATAACCTTCTTTTCAGTACTTGGCCAAACAAATTGTAAGGCTGCTGAGGAAAATGCTTTCACTTGTAGAGCACAGTCAGCAGCCAGTTTCTTCCTTTGGTTTGTTGTCAGATGGGAAGTTGGAGCCTTACCTTCATCAGATTTAAGAACAGCTAGATTGGCAGCAGCAGATGCTGCAACATTCCCGTGATTGTATAGATTCATGTAAGCCTGTGGTCTAAAAGATGAGAATTTAGCTGGCTTGCCACCACTCATATTTTCAGTAATTAGCTGAACAGGGGGCTTGCTTTTATAAGGTGGGCTGATCAAGTCTGCCCTAGCAGAAATAGAGCTCCTGATATTTTCTCTAGACATACCATTACCAATTACTGAACCACACGACAAGTCTGGACGAATCAATCCATGTGCTGGCTGTGCTTGTGTTCTGTTAGGCATAACTGTCACCATAGACATGCTCTGGTGAGAAATTGAGGATGTCCCACTGGGCCCAAAAGCTCCATTTCTGTATGCATTATCTACATAGGTCTTAGCTAATGGAGTTTGCCTAAAAGCTTCATTATTGTTAGCTGAGCACAACGTAAATTGATTATCCATAACCTGATGTGCATTTGTCTGGGAAAGCACTGCCATCTTACTGTCCTGACCATCTTTCAAAGTTGCCTGAACACTTCCATTATTTGCTTTCACTGGAGTAGCGGTCGATAGAATATTGGACTGTGACATAAGGCTTCTACCAACCTCTTTACTTATTTTTGATCTCTCATTCTGAAATATATCAAGTAGATGACTCCAGTACTCTGTCATTCTCCTACATATATCTGTATATGCATCTGAAGAGGCAAGTATTTGGACGACTTTGACAACATCACAATGATTGTAATATCTTGCACAAAACTCCACATCTGAAGATGTTCCAATCCTGCATTATTTTATTTGATGGAATTAACATTTAGAAAGCATAGAACAAAGGCAAGTTTGTCATGGGGTAACAGTCGGATTACTATTAAACACTCAAATGAGTACTACTAAGGTTACCAAGTCAAAGTAATATGATTTTTCGCTTGTTAATTTAGTACATTCCAACTTTCTGGTGCTACCATGTTTAACCTTATTCAGAGATGGAAAAAAAAAAGCTTATGTTGCAAATTAAATGTTGGCTACTCTACTCTAATCAATTGCAGACTGGCAGTGCAGAACGAATGTTCATAAACCCCAAGTACTGAAGGATGAGGATGAAAGAGCTTACACCAGCAAATAGTTGCAGCATCCGAGGAAGCTCCTGCCACACATATCAATGCCAAATAATTGAGCTCCTCTTGCGCCACGCTCTATTCTTGAAGAGGTTGGTCCAAGCTTGTTAACCACACATTCTGGACAGAACCAATCCCCCTGAGGTAGGAAAGCTTTATTCTGACCAATACATCTTGAGTGGTATGCCCATGGGCAGCCATCACAGCATACCAAAGTCCCATCCATTCCACATATCCGGCAATCATCACTGTTGCCATCCTGGGATGCATGTGTTGAAGCAGATTCTGGATTATTTCCGTTTTGGGCAGTTTCCAGATTCTGTAAAGCGTCGAGCTTTTTGCAAGCTGGAGCCTTTGAGCCTCTAGTCAATACTGATCTTGACCCAACCTCCGCAAAAGTACTAGAATCCATCTCATATTCCATTTCTTCACTGTAACCTTCCCGTTCTTCCAGTTCAGTCTTGAGTTCTTCTGAATCAATGACGTGATCACATAGTAGTTGCAGGATCCTAAGCTTCAGGGTAACAGGAAGCTTATAGTACTCAATGGCTAGGACACTTCTACCAAATCTCCGGCCTCCTAGATCTTTAATAATACCCATGACATAGAGGTACTCTAGCAAGAAAGCTGGCCAAGTCAATGAATCTAGTAATGTCCAGTCTAAATACCTGGAATTGATTCAAGAGAAGTGAAAAGGTCAGAATTGAAATAACAAGATATAAACACTCATGAGAACAATAGTGGAAGGTTGAAGACCACATACTTCAAGCAATTTGAAGCCAGTTTTAATCCTTCAGAAGATTTGGTCTCAAGATGCCGCCTAAGTGCCCGCAGTAGTGAGACATGAACAGCATCCAACAATGTATTCTGCGTGGTGCAATTAACGGATGAAACAAAATCATCCAGCCCAAATGGACTGAGGAACAGCTGCACACTAAACGATCGCAGGAAGTTGTATACAGAAAAAAGATAACTTATGGCCTCCTCTGGCACAGCAATGTCCCCTGAAGACGGAGGCAACTCCAGGACCTGAACTGGTGGATAATGCTCTACTGGCAGTTCCTTAGTGCAGTTTGATGAATTGCTTGAAGATTCAACATCCTCAGAAGCATCCGAGCCAGACCCACTCTCTTGCGACTCATCAGGCCTAGTGGACACCTCAGATTCATTGACCCTCTGCCTAGTAATTGGTGGCCCTTTCACCTCAGTGGCGCCACCGGATGAAACTAGCAAGTCCAGCTTCCTCTTCCGGCAGCTCACCTTCATGCCAAATGCACCATTCTCTTCACCAACAAGTTGTGACTGGAGCTGAGCAAGCTCTAAATCCTCACCCTGCCCATCCTCAAACACCACACTGTAGATCCCAGTGCTGCCATCATAGGATGCAACCTTCCCAAGAAGAATTCGACCATGCCCAGCGACACTCCGGCTGATGTAACGGCCCACAAGGCACTCCCCCTCCTCCTTCATCTGACAACCATCGGCAGGAGTCGTGGTGGGCTTCTGATCCACCACCCCGCCCTCACATCCTTCCATCTTTACCTCACTTGCCACAGCAGCCACCGTATGCACTTGCTCTTGAACGCCGTTCTCATACACCTCGGTCTTCACTTGGATCGGGGTGCACGCCGCCGCATCTTGCTCCTTGTCCGGGATACTGCCCCCGTTCACCTCCGCCTTCACCTCCCCTGCAGCAGGCGCCACGGCCTGCTCCGCGTCCGCCGTCCCGACCTCGTCGACGTCCATCTTCGTCTCGCTCACCGGATGCGCCGCAGCACGCTCGTGCTCGACCGCGATGACGCCTTCGCCCGCCGCCTCACTCGCGGGGGGCGCCGAAGCAGGGGGGTCTTCCACCGCCGCCGACGCCGACGCGATGCCCCCTGCGATCTCCGTCTCGCGCGCATCATCTGCCGTCGCCGGGGCCGCGGCGGCCGCGGCGGGAGAGGCGTGGAGCATCCGATCAGAAACCTCCATGGGCTCCTCCATATTCTCGGACACCCCCGAAAACCCTAAGCGAGTGCGGCTACAGAAAGCCCCCGCATCGCGAATCACGAGCCCGGAGTCGAGATTCCGGCGGGGCTCATCCACCGGGACCCGAGGCGCCGCCCGACGCAGATGCGAAGCCGGGCACACTCGCGGGCTACGAATCTGGAGAGAGAGCTAAGGGGAAAAACGCGCAACCCCCCACCCGATTCCGCGGCGAGATCCCCGCGCGACGAGCGGAACCCTACCCGATGATTGGATTCATCCGCCGGCAGCCCCTCGCGTGGTCGCAACCCTACGCGGCGGCGGTGGCGGCGGCGGCGGCGGAAGGCGAGGAGGCGGAGGAGAGGAGATGGGGGAAGAGGAGATGACACAGGAGAAGGGAAGAGAAGGGAAGGGAAGGGGAGCGAGGCGAAAAGGAAAGAAGTGAACCGCACGAGCGAGAGGCTCGCACCCGAGCCTGGCTCGCGTCGGTCGGTCGGTCCGTGCCGCGCTGTGGAAGCGGAGTTCGGGTCCGGTCGGTTGCGCCCGACCCGCGTGGGGAGACGTGGAGCGGTGGTGGGATAGTTGTGGGGGGGAGGTGGATGGACCGGGTGGTGGGTGCGGGGAACGAACTTACGAACCGACCCGGGTGGCGACGTGTGGGGGCGTGACCTGACCTGACCTGGCTCGACCGCGCGGGGAGGAGTAGCGTAGTACGGGTGTCCACTACTAGTAGCACACGCACGCACGGCGGCGAGAGCAGAGGCGAGGGCGAGGAGGAAAATGGAGGGAGATGTGGGAGGGAGGGAGGGAGAGGGTGATGCACTTTTCAAATTCAAAAGTGTGGAGGGAGTCAGCCAGGCCAGGGTGGTCGCTCGCGTTGGCGTTGGCGTTTGCGTTTGCGTTTGCGTAGGTGGATGGATGGATGGATGGAGAGGGGAATACCGGAGCAGTGTGTGGCGTCGTTTTCCCCGGGACTCCGCGAGGCTTTTGCTCGCAACACACTTGTGCACTGTGTGGAGGTGTACGGGTGTGTGTGTGTTTCTCAGCTTGCGCGTCTCCTCTCCTTGGCTTGGCCTTGGGCTCTCCTTGCACGCACGTTGTTGTTACACGGGGAGTATGTTTTTCAATGTGCTCAGGTGTTACGATTTACTTTTGTCGATGGACTGTACATTGTTGCGCTATACTTCTAGGTAGCTGTCGATCATGCATCTTCACATGCAGGTACTAATTGTTTTATTGTCTGTGCCTCCAGGCTTATGGTTTGGTGTTTGCACCCCGAAACAACGGTGATCAAGATTGTAATAATGCAAAACAGCAAGAAGCATCGTTAATTGCAGCCTTCCCTGCAGGCACGGGTTCTGTAGATCACGCTAACTGTCAGGAAGACGCGTAAAGGCCTACAGGATGCTTAGTGCTATAGACATGACCGTGAGTAATGGATGGAAGTAGTATCAGATACAGCAACATTAACTATACACATCTGTCCCAAGTTCATTAGACATCAGTAGTAGCATATTGACATGGATCAGTTTAGTTCGAGTCATGCGGCAAAAGAAAATCAAAATCATTCGTCAGATGCAACAGGAAAACAAAATTATTCGTCAGGTGCAGCAGCGCTGATCACAATTCACAAATGCCGCATCAGGTGCATCCAGCGAAGCAGCCTGCATCAATGGGAGTAGGTAATTTAAGGAGGTTATTACATAAGTACATGGATAGTTCAAATCTTACAGGAAAAGGGAGATTTCGAACAAGTCCAAATTATAAGAATGACGTGGTTTTACGGAATATGGAAGGTGGACAAATGCGATGAAAGCGTGTCTGAAATTCAAGTAACTTGGATCCAATCTGCAAATTAAGGGATGCTGAAACTCCATGAGCTAGATATTTGATTTGTTGCTATGGATTCTCAGTGAACTTTCCTATTATCAAATGGATTACCAATAAGTATTTTTCATAGACTTCTGGTAGGCATGCAGCATCCATGGTGCTTATGTGATATGAGGCCACAGGTTCTACTGATGCTGCTGGGAGAGCTCTGTGACAGGTGATAGGGAAGAGGCATTCTGGCTCACTTGGCTGCGAGAGGAAGACAGAAAGTAACAAAAGGGGAAAGCTCTTAAGGGTGCTGGATACAATATGACACTTATGGAGTGGTCAGGAACCCAAGGAGCATCCAAAGAAGATGTCTAGCACTGATGCCCCAAACTCACTCGCCATTAGTATTTCCACACGAAACCATTGAGACTAAATGGTGAAACAAGAATTATCTGACTTAACATTTACATGAATGCAGTGTATAACGTACAAGAAGATTGTTCATATTACGAATAAAATATCATACGAACATCGGTATGCAGCATATTTTCTTACGAAACTTTCTCATTTAAGTGCTTTCCTACTAACCAGCCTTTTAGGGATACACATGACGAATTAGTAAATGATAAAATGATTTTATAAGCTGAAACTATGACAGGAAGAACACAACTAAACAATCTAGTCAAATTATCTCTCTTACGGTAAATTTAATGTTGAATTTTATGGAGAACTGAAAGTCCAAAATAGACCCCTAAGGCCAACATTTTATGGAGAACAGGACAGATATCTCAGGTTGTGGCAATAGATCTCCAAGGAGAGCTGGGTGAAATTGTTTGTTCTAGGTGAGCTTTTTCTTCTATGGATATGTTATCATGATAATGATTGGTTTTACTTTTAACAGCAGGAAACTAGCCAGAAAGGCAGAAATTATCTCAAGAGCATACCCTGGCCGTGTACATCCTTTTGGGTGTAGAGGCCGGGTTTTGATCCATTTTCTCAAAAAAAAATCTCAAGAACATACCCACCAGAAGACTGAAGTTACCATTTCCTGCTAAACACAACCATTTGTACAGGATTCTTGATTACATCCTCGCGCTCCATCAATTGCCTGCACAGAAACATAAATGATAATTGATATATGCTTAGTTTCAGTGGCAGGGGGTAGTTAGGGCTTTAAGTCCTAGGCTTAGCACAACATCCCAATAAAATATATAAAAACATTGTGAAAACTCTTAAGCGGTAATGTAATTTGGCAATAACTCATAGCCCTAGGCGTGATCATATTTTGGTTCCGTCCCTGCTTAGTTTACAGCTCCTACAAAGAAAGGTTTCGCTGATATAGTAATTATTAGTCAAAAATGCCGTATCAGCAACAAAGAAAAGGTTTCTCACTTGGTAGCACCGTTAACTATGGTGGAGCAGCATCTGTGTCTGGCACTGGAGCCCTAGAATTACTCTGATCAGATGGTTGAACTACATTGTTGGCTTGATGGCAGGCAATATCCTTCATATGATGCAAAGCAATCTGCTGAAGTTTGTCCAAGGTAATCATGATATCATCACTTGTCTGATGGTCTTTTTGCCTTAGATGCTCATACAATGAGCCTGTCTCCGCAGCTATTGCCCGGAAACCATCATACTGCAAAAAGTGTAAATAAGATAGCAAACGTCACACAGAAAAAATCATAAACTATACACAATTCTGGAACATACAGCCTGGTGAAGTATGACAGAGTGGTCGTTGGCAAAGTTGCTCCCCACTGTAGCAGCTTGTGGGGGGCTATCATCCCCAGGGGCCGATCTTCGGCAGGTACCAGGTACATACCATGCAACGCATGCATCATATGGCCGGACCTCCTGGATTATTTAAAAGACTAAGACTTTGCAAATGTATATAGGTGATACAGGAAGCTCTGAACTTTGTATGCGAACAAAATCATCACAAAGTGCAAACAAGATTTAGATGCAATCATGAAAAACCTTGTTTTGGGAATATTTTGTGCTGATCTGGTGCTGAAAAATGGAATGTACAATCCAAACCATGGTTTGCAATAGATATGCCTCCATTGAACTTAATTCCAGCATTTTTTGTTACAAAACACCACATCTATCATAGGAATATAGGATGTATTAGAGTTTCTGTTCTCACTAGAACTAAAAATGCGCACTACAAGATCCTTGACTTGATTAGATGCCTTTGAAGTTTCACTTTTTATCATGCATGTGCTAAACAACCTAGTTCTTGTAAACAAAGATTATCATATATGCCCATTTGAACTAAGTGCACGAGAAATGCATGATCTTCTAATGAGTAACAACTTCAATGATTTCGTTCTCAATCTTGAAATCATGTTTTCACAGCGCACATATGAAAGACATAGATTATGCAGCAAAAGAACAGTTGATAGGCAAAAAGAAGTACAAATATTGGATCGATTTATCTAGCCTCTAGGATCATACAAGGACAGCAAGTTGAAATTTCTATCAACTATTCTTTTTGGTTCTGGAAAAAATCTACAAAACTTAGTAGTGGAAAAACAAACTATAATTGTGCTAGGTGAACCGCCAATCCCAATTTCAGACTTAACGGTTGGCACAAGTTCTACCTTCGCAACCCCCTTGCTGACAGGATGAGTAGGATGGGAAGAACCATCCATATAGATAGTCTCTTGAACACTTCCTGGGACAGAGCTTTTCATGTTCGCTGAGAAATTAGCACCAACAGTTTCTTCTACAGTTGGTTCAACTCCTCCAGATGAATCGAGCGGTGGATCTCCATCTGCTCCAGCAGCTTCCTCGCTCGAGAGCATGTCATCTGCATTTTCTTGACTGACGGGTTGTGGTTCAGGCACTTTGGAATAGTAAAAATCTGAATGAGGACATTTCGGCAACGGCCTCCTCCGACATCTGCAGCATCTGTACGAAATCAATTGAGCTATCCTTCCTTCCTCAAGTTCCAGGGCATCTCCATGAAACCAATCTGTGCACAGGAGAACATCAAATTGTCAAAACCAACAACAATACACAAATAAAGATAATAGACTTTCATTCTGCAAAACTGACAAGTATACCTACTTCTGCAACTCTCGCAGCGGATATACATCAAGTCTGATCGATATGGCTTGAAGCAGAGAAAGCAGGTCGGTTTCATCGGCGAGCCTACGCCATCCCTGCTTCTAAGAATAACATCATCTGCCTTGAGCTTGCTGCTACGTAGGTCATTCTTGCTTCTCTTCCATATGAGCCCAAAGAAAGTGATCTCTTGTGTGGTTCTACGCTTGTGATTTCTCCGTGAGTACAAGGACAGGCGCTTCGCCTCCAGCTGCCTCGCCTCATCCGTGCTGCCCCCACTCGCCTTCACCTTCTTCGTGTTGCTCCTTCCACGGGTTGGCAATGTCTCCATCGGTTCAGGCAATCTCCTCACTCCATCATCAATCAGAATGCGGGAGCTGGATCTATGGGAGGAAGGGGACTCGGGTGGCTTTCTTGGCCTCGCTCGACTGCAGCAATTTCTGCCTCTCTTCTCCTTTCCTCTCAGTCTCTTGGATCCATATGCCTCTTCGATTGGTTGCTCTCTCTCTCTCTCTCTCTCTCTCTCTCTCTCTCTCTCTCTCTCTCTCTCTCTCTCTCTCTCTCTCAAACCTGCTACGCTCTCACTGCTGGAGTTCTTGGGTTGCTCGCGCTTCTACTCCACCCAATCGTCGGATCCAGGGACGGAGGAGGTATCCTCGGATGAGGCAGCTGTCGGTGGCGGCGGAGCGCAGCGGTTGGGGGCCATCGGCGGCGGGCGTGGGTGGGGGTGGGGGCGGGGGCGGTGGTGGGGAAGATTAGGGGGGAGGAGGGTGGAGGCGTCGGGTACTCCGTACTCCGGTCCACTGAATTTTGTTTACTCCTAAAAATTTAACCTACGAAATACTCTTGACATTTTAAATACTGGAGTACTACGAAGTATAGTCCTTTAATAAGGTCCGATTTGCTATACTACAAGGTAGTACTCCCTTCCTATCGTTGATTTTTTAATCAACGTTTGACTATTCATCTTATCAAAAAAATTTATGTTATTATCATTTATTTTATCGTGACTTGATTTATTATCAAATATTCTTTAAACATGATATAAATATTTTTATATTTATACAAAAAATTGAATAAGACGAATGGTCAAACGTTGATTAAAAAGTCAACGGCGTCATACATTAAAATACGAATACGGAGAGAGTATTACTGTACCAATTTAAGACATGTTATTATGTCAAAATATTGAAAAAGGTTTTGTCACCCTTGATATGTCGTACATCAGCAAAACCAAAACAACCCGTTATTCTCTTAGGTTATGTTCGTTTATAGTAGTTGGGAACTTCTCTAACACGGTAAACGAACCAGTGAATTAAAGCATCATTAATTGACACCATAGCCGAAGGCATGGTATGTTTTAAGAAATATTATAACACCATAGTTTAAGAATGTTAATTCCTTTGTAGTATTTTTATCTATGTCTTCTATGCAGTTATAGCATGCTCAACATTTAAACATACCATATTACCATCCACTTGTAATTACTATTACAACTTTAAACACATATAAAAATGCCACATAATCTATAATTTACTAAATTTTAGAGCTTAACATGCAAGCATATTAAATAATCACTCCACACCATTTTCATAATATTTCAATGTATATTCATCTATCATTTATACAATATTTAACATGTGTTTTCTATACAAGAATATTTAACACGCATTCATCCACTAATTTCATGGTAAGTGCAGGGCATCATCATATCCAGTACTCGCAATAAAAAACCCAATCGGTTTTACTTAAACGAGAATTAACTGGGATTACCGTTGATCAAATACTTAGACAAGTTCCCCCAAAAAAAAATTGACATACCTCATATGGGCTGAACTCAAAGTATTTCTAGGTAGGAATACGTCTATTTTACCTCTTCAACTTTTACCTTGATCGAATTGCGTTCCTCAATCACAAAACTAGGTATAAAGCCTTCCCCATCTTGGAAAATTGATGCAAATCCACTCTTCTGATGGTTTGGGAAGTGGTTTATGCATATGTGGTAGGTTATCTGCGATCAGGTTCTCTATCTCGCTGAGGCAGCTCGTGGCCCCCCAAATGTCAGTGAAATGTGGCAAAACATATACGGTAGGGTCCATGTGTCAATGCATTCCTTTACTCCTCCCCCACCTTTCCCTCTCTCTCCTCGCAAGCACTTGCGAGGGTGGGACATGCCAGAGGATGCGCCCGCCCTCTAAGGGATGAATCGACAATGGCGAAGCAGCGCGCGAACAAAGTTCAAGATGGCCACAATGGGCAAGCCCTGTTCTTCCTCCTTCCTCTTCCCTGCACTTATTTGTTCCCTTCACCATCTCCAAAAATCAATGCCACTCTTCGTCCTTCCTTCTTCCAGTGCCATTTGGAATGGGGGTATCGACCGCTTGCCAATGATGAGCAAGAGAAGCGCATTCTTGCATTACTCATGCTGATGTCAAGGCTACCCGGAGACTGCCCATCTTCATGCTTGCTTGTGTCACCACCACTCATGATGGAGCCACTGTTGGGAGTATCACGATAAAGGGGACCTGGTGGGCGATGGTGGGATGTAGAAGTCGACAATGATGGGGAAGGAGCTAGAGGCCGGGGGGAGATCGAGAGACAGATCCTGTTGGTCAGCTATACAAACCTAGGTTGCGGCGGCCTTAGATCTATAAGAAGAGCTGAGACAAAAGAGGCAGTAGGTCGGTGAGTCAACGTCAGGGCTCGAGGAGGCCGAAGAAGGAGGCTAGGGAGACCGCGAGGTAATGGAGCAGTGCAGCATGGTTTGAGCTTTTTCCCCTATTCCTCCCCAAGCGACGACAATGTCCCAATCTATTGTTCGTGTTGCTATTAGGCTTGCCGACTGTCATCGGAGCCGAAGGTCGACTCCTTGGACGACAATGGCAGCCCAGTGGTGACCATCCCCTTCCCGCGAGCTTGAGCCTTCACAAATGCCGCCGCTTGGCTTCCTCGTGCTAAGTATTTTTTCCTTTTTTTCGTCAACGCATAAAAGGATTGCACGTCAATATATTAGAAGGAAAAGATTTTTTGTTATTTTTTCCTTAATATAATACAACTTCAACTTGTCACGTCAACAAAAATCACTTTACAAAACACCCAAGAAGTCAATTTATATCATTAAGTTAGGGGAGGTGTTCTAACCAATTTTACGGATGAGGGATGCGATTTGACCAACAACAGGAGGAGGGAGTCACAATAGACATTCCTTTTCGGTGTACAAGGATGGAATAAGTTCATCTGAGGTCCCTTAACTTGTCAACGAATCCGATTTTCGTCCTTCAATTGGAAAACCAGATACAACGGGTCCCTCACCTATCAAAACCAGTGCAGATGAGGTCCCTTGGCGGTTTTGGTAGCGGTTTTGGCCGACGTGGCGCCTACGTGGCTAATTTGACTTGGTCTTCATCTGATGTGGCATTGACGTGGCGCTTATGTGGCAATTCGATCAACAAAAATAATAAATTTCGTGGGACCCACATATCAGTTTCACACATAAATTAATAAAAAAATGGTGGACACACATGTCAGCTTAAAAAAAATATGTGGGGCCCACGTGGGCCCCACAAATCCCTCTCGGCTCTCCCTTGTCCTTGCGGTGGAGCGAAGGGGCGGAATGGCGGCGGCGGAGGTGGCCAGAGAAGGAGGAAGCCGGCGAGCGCGGCAGCTCCACTCCGTCGGCTGCTTCGGCCGCCCCGCCGCTCCGCCCGCGATGCCCAGCAGAAAAGAGGATGAGGCAGCGGGAAACATTGTTGTTTATCTGCATGATAAACAACAATTGTTTATCCTTATATTTCATCTTGCTAGTGGGAATTTGATCCTGACAGTTTAGCTTTGACCATCAAATCAATTGTTGTTTCAGCAAATCGAGCTTGGAGTGCAGCGACGCGCCGAAGTCGCCGTCTGACACCGGTTCGGGGTCGTCCGCCGCCGCTGCGCCGCGCGGGCGCTTGGGGTCACGGCGGTAGTCGGCGTAGTCGTCGACGAGGCGGTCGAGCACGTGGTGTGCCTCGCGGAGCTTCTTGGCGAAGGCGAGGATCGATGCGTCCTTGGCGCGCGTCTCACGGGCAAGGCGGGCGCGCGCGTCCTGCAGGTCGAGGGTCTCCTGCAGCTCGGCGACGGCCTCGAAAAACTGCATCTGGAGCGTGTTGAGCAGCGACAACGCTTCTTGGTGTAGGAGAGTCGCCTTCTTGGTGTAGGAGATCGGGGCCGGGAGTGGCGGCGGAGAGGAGAGTGGAGATGGGGAGAGAGAGGAGGAAGAAGAAGAGGGGGGGTGAGAATGACATATGGGGCCTACGTGGGTCCCACCTTTTTGAATTAATTTGTGTGAAAGTGACGTGTGGGTCCCATGGGGTTTATTATTATTTTTAGATCGAATTGCCACGTAACCGCCACGTCAATGACACGTTAGATGAAGACCGAGTCAATAGCCACGTAGGCGCCACGTCAGCCAAAACCACCGTCCAAACCGTTAAGGGACCTAATGTGCACTGGTTTTGACATTTGAGGGACGTGTTGAATCTGGTTTTCTAGTTGGAGGATGAAAATCGGATTCGTTGGCAAGTTAAGGGTCATTAGGTGAACTTATTCCTACAAGGATTGGAAGCGTACCAAACCCAAAGGCCTGGAAATTCTGAAGATCTGGATTAGGAAGCCTCGTAGCGAAGTGGTTCCACCATCCTTTTGCAGGCCTAATCGGGCCCAGGCCCACGTCAACCGCAGCGGCGATCACTCCACCCCACATCTCGCCGGCGAGCACGGGCGGAGCCGGCGGCGAGGGAGGCGACCTCAGTTCCTCGCCGTCTCCGTCGACCTTTCCCCGCGCCGGTGAACCCTCCCGGATTCCTCGCCCTTCCCCTTCCCCTTCCCTGTGAGCTAGTTCCCTCGCCCTCCCCCATTACCGCCTCGGCTTCTATCTGCTCTGCACTAATCGGTGAGCCCCCTTGATCGCTTCCCAGGAACTCCTCTTTTCACATATTCTTCTTCCGAGACAATATCTCGTCGAATTTTTTTCCGCCGACGAGCGTCATGTCGAAGTTAATAGTAGGAGAAATGATCTTCTGCAAACGTTTGTTTTTGGGAACCTGATTTATTACAGGAGGGTTGCCTGCTCATGGATTAAGCTGTTGCCTGCATGTTTAATGTTAAGTCTCTAAATTTTGCGGTGATAATGTATTACTCCGTATAGAATACCCTCATACTGTATAGATCATTTGGGCATTTTGTCTAGGAGTATCATCTTATCTGGACCGATTGGCTACATGTAAACAATGCTTATTAAAAGAACCATAATATTGGAAATTGAAAGATCAATTTGTAAGTCACCTCAATTCATGATGGCAACATGTGTTTGCCCTTTCTTCCACCAACCTAGTCATCTAGATAAGATATAAACTGTTGGTTGAGAGAAGCATGAATCTTATTGATGGTAGCATGTGTGGAGACAGTAAAGCATATATAGAGTAATGGAACGATTTCTTCTGTATTGGTGAAATCTCGGTTCTCAATACATGTGAATTAAAGTTGTTAATCTTGGACCACTATAGCTCACTAGCTCCGTTTGTTTATATTTTACCTCACATGTTGCTTGCATTGTGTATTACGGTATTACCTCCCTTTGTTCAGCAGAATCATTTCTACTGCATATTCCCAACCCCAGATCTGAACTATATGTATCAGTTTTCAAGATTTTGCTTCAGATCTAAGGGAAGCTTAGTTTCAGTTTAGCTGTTTTATGACTTTTGATGTCCAGCCTGCTAATTTCTAGTTCTAAGAGCTGTTGTAAAATTTGTCCTACACCACAAGAATGTAGTATGGTTTTCAGTTGTATCCCCCCCTTACCAAAATATTAGTTTCTGTAAGGTTTCCAAGATGTTACCGTTTATAACTTTGTAATAATATATACAAATAAAATTACAGTACTATGAGACCTTCTTTGATCACAGATCTAACAATGTAGTTTGCGCATATAGCGGAACTCCATACCTTTATACTTATTGGGTAGTAAAACTTAAAGTTAAATGGCATGGATTCTACAGTGATAAATAGAAATAACCACACAAATAATTAACAACCAGGATTCTGAGGAAAAATTATCTGAGCCTCATGGGAAGACAGTTTGGTACGTCCCTTGGATGAGAACATCACAGGTAATTTTCGTACCCCATTTTGCATTAATTACTAGTAAATTGTTTGCCAGTGGCATTACTGATCAATAAAAGCTGCATCACAGTCCTCATCCTCATTATGTTACTTGTAGACTAATATTTTAACATGAAGTCAGTCTGAAAGTAGGAAGTATATGCATTGGTGCCACTGAAATATTTAGTTATAGGCTGAGTGCTTCACCATGAACTTTGGTGGTATGGTAGGAGGTAAAACTTGTGCTTTCACTGCGAAACATATGAAAAGCCACAAGTATTTTCTGCACATTGCACTGAACAAATATATATTCTGCCTTATGTAGTTATGTACATCTCAAAACAATACCATCTTCAGTTTATTTTCTAGGGATTGTGTTTGAACTGAAGTAGCAAATCACTCCAGGCCCAGTTTCTGTCATAAACTGGGTCAATTCCTTTTCTTCTTAATATAAAACAGGAACCCCTGTCCTCCTCCTCGAGGTTTACCTTGGGGCAAAAAAAAAACCCTGAAGTGTCGTAAGTTCAAGCATGATAATGGGTCCTGTTGTTTTAGTGATGAGATATATAGAATATGTAATACTCTATAAGTTCATTCATCAATACCCATGCTCAAGTAAATCCTATTTGTTTGAATGATAAAAAAGTTCACGGTTTAGTTCAAGCTCTTTATTATAAGTGTGGCAAGAGCAAGAGTGCAAGACCTTGGTCATGATGGAAAAGGTGAAAAAAGAACTGAAATCGTCAAGCTGACACAGTTCATCACAAATGGTTGCAGGATTTACCTGTACTTAACTTGAATTTGTCATAGAAGATTGCTCTTATCTATCATCGTCTGCAGAAATTTTGAGTTAGGTTATCGCGACCGGTGTTTGATTTCAGAGCTCTTCATTAACACTTTAACTCTGTAACTTGTATTGGAGTAATGGACTGAAAACTGCCAATGCCCAGTTCTGTCGATTCAAAATCGATCAACTGGGTTTTCCTTCTTGATTCACTGATTCATTCACACGATTCATTAAGAAGGTGAAGGTATGCGACTCCTGATATTTAAGCACAGAATATTTCACTTAAGAGTTACTAACATCCAACAACTAATGAAAGCACATTGTTGACAATTGACAGGACATGAAACTCTTTTTTTTTTTCCTTTTTCCATTGTTCCCCGACCTCAGCCAAGTTGGGCAGCTACTTGCCTTGGAAGGGTGCTCGAAGGCCATGTGCAAGGTTAGATTAAACACCATATTATTTTGCAGCCTACTATAGGAAAAGGTTCTCTAGGTCTGATTTCTCTGTTTGTTTTCACTTTAATTATCATCTGGCAGCTTTATAATTTTGGTTCCTGTTTTGCTTTCACCTCTTTTGCATATTAAAAGGTGTAAAGAACAGAGGTGTGTGAGCTTCTCCCGCCACTTTGTTGTTTTTATATTACATGAAGCTTGCAAAAACGTTTCGTATCAGAATCCCCACTTTCTTTGGCTAATTACACAATACTACCATCACGTCTCTTTAATCAAAGCTTATTGGTAATCGCCTCTATTATATTAAACCTTGGGAGGCGAGTTTTGGCTTCTTGTGAGTACTCTTGAAGCAAGTACAGCTATCCATTAATCCATACCCCAACTGTCAATATCTCAACAAAACTTTCCTTATATTTTCCTTTCTTGTTATGGCCTAACAATCAGAAATGTGTTCTTTGGTTCCTGATTGTTAACCGTTTAGTTTAGCAGTCTAACATAAAAACCAATAGGTATGTCTAATTACACTAGTATCAGTACATGTTTGCCATTAGAGGGAGAATCCTTGTTAATGCATGTTTCAGTATCTGAAATGCAATAAATGCAATATCTTTTACTTACAGTGTACTACATTGCGTATCCAACCATTGATCCGCAGCTCACATATCTCCCCATCTTTTGCACTCGCCACTGCACAAATTTTGCTCCAGCTAGCTGTTGTACTGCTTCACAGAGTTACAGCGTTAGCACTGTAAGCTTTTGTTTCCAAGGAAAGGGATACTGAAACTCCCTCTCACCCGCTCAAGTTGTTACTACTCTGTAGTCTGCACAACTAATTTCTCTGCAATTTGTTGAGTAGTATTTTACACTTGATACTCCACTGTTTTTGTTTCTGCTTCTCTTGTAGTCTGGTGCTCCTTAAGTTCTTTTACCACCAGTAGGAGTTTCTTTCTCATTGTCATTGGGGATAAAAAAAAGGGTATGGATGGGATAGCACCGGAGGCCTTGTTTATTCATACCCATCTATTTGTTTTATAACAACGAGGATTTGGAGCTTTTACAGTTACAGCGCATCATGGATTTGACTGGGCTTTTTTTATTTTTCAACTTTGAATTAACTCCAGCTACTACACTGATTTCCCGAAAGGCAGAGCTTTACTCCTTTCAGTCTTATCCCCTCAGCGCCAGTTGGACAGCTGTTCAGGCTGTTTTTTTTTTAACGAATGGCTGATTAAAAGAAATACAGAATTGGTTTTTCATGGAAAGGTATGCAGACCTCCCTCATTTGCTGTTTCTGGAGTACGTTGGGCTAGTGTTTGGAGACTGACCAATAATACTAGGAAAATGGGTTATGTGGGATTTTTTTATAGTTTTTTTTACAAGAACTGAACTAACTCATGAATATTCTTGCATTCCAAATAAATCCTAATTAGTTCTATTGTCTTTTTACACTATTTGGAACTGTCAAAGATTGAGACACCGTTCTATCTTCTTCCATGTTTTTTATATGAGCATGAAATTCAAAACACGAGAAAGATAGGGAATCATTTCTTTCTTATTTTTAACTATGTAACGACCATTTTTTTAGAATAACCGATGCTGTTTATTTTACTATATAAAATTTGACCATGGATAGGAAGATTAGGGAACACTTTAATTTTTTTTGTTAATACTATGTAACGGCCTTTTTTTCCGGAATAACCGGTGTTGTTTATTTTACTATATAAAGTTTGGCCATGGATAGAAAGATTGGGAAACACTTTAGTCTTGTTTAAACTATGTAACGGCCTTTTTTTTTTGGAATAACCGATGTTATTTATTTTACTACATAAAATTTGACCAGTTATAGATTTAAAATTGTTCAACGAGTGAATTAATGTTGTTGTAAAATGATTCACCGAGTGAATTAATGTTGTATTGTATTAATTCTAGATTTTCCATGCAAATTAAAACTTTTAAGTTTTTATAAAAATCTGTTACTAAAAATAGTGGCCAAAGTTTTACTGTAAACACAATGATTTCAGTTATTTAAAAAGGATGGAGGGATAACTTGCTGTACAATAGCTATTGCCCAAAGTACTGAACTGCAGGGCACATCCTCCAATGTGATTGCTTTTTTCTTGCTGACTTTATGATATAAACAACAAAGTGTGAAGGAAAAAACAGGGGAAGGAAAGACATACTGGTAAAGAAGAATTAGACAAATATACAGTGGTACAAATTTAGAATAAAAGAATCTTACTTGGACATTTTTATAGGGTTTGCATAGCAGATACTTCCTCCATTCTTGAATAATTGTTACTGTTAACTACAACCGTCTCATTCTAAACAGAAATTACTTTTCAATTATTACATTATGATGGATCGGAGTTATTCGCTTATATTTATGATGGCATATACTTCGATAATATCACATATTTTTAAGTATTTTTTTTACGAAAAGACAAACTGCCAAGTTTAAATTTGAATAGTGTAAGGGTCAATTTTATTCGAGAATGGAGGAAGTAACTAGATTCAATAAGATTACAGCATATGACAAAAAATATTGGCCTTAAAATGTGCCTTATGCTGTCATGTAGTCATGCTAACAAAAAAAATGCAGACTAGGGTTAAATATTATTTTTGCATTTAGAAATAATTATATTGGTATTAATCTGAAGTTTTAATTTGTTCCTACATCAGATACATTTCGCATCTTTATTTTTCTCACCATTTTTTCTGAAGACATCGTGCATCGCATTGGTTATGTCTACTGTTCAATAAAATGGAGGTACGTACTCGTATGCTGTACTACGTACTCCAGTACACTTTTTTTGCAGTCCAACCAATCAGCCAAGTTGGTCAAAGGAGAGAGAGCGAAAGAGAGCAGGAACCCCGCCATTCCTGTGCAGTTTCTGCCCCAAAAATCTCATTTTTAATCATCCCATTTTTTTCCCCTGTCTTTAAAAATCTTCCTCCATGAGACTTCGGTAACAACAGCTACTACTGGTGCCTGGTAGTAACCAGACACAGAGGGAAAGCAAAACAAGAGTGGGTGTCTCCTGTTGTCTGTCTTCCTCCTCGTTTGAGCTCCAAGCAAGCTTAGCCAAGAAACACCATAAAGAAGAGAGTGAGAGAGAGTGTGTGTGTGAGAGGAGGTGAGCTTCTCTCACATGCACATGGAGGGAGGGGAGGGCATTGCTGTAGCAGGTGCAGGTGGTGGCCATGAAGCCGGCTTCGGTTTGTTCAGAGCGGCCGATGTGACCATGACAGAGGCGCAAGAAGCAGCCAAGGAGTACCAGTCTTCTCCCTCCTCGCCGTCGACGTCTCCTACTCCTTCCCCGCCGCCGGTTGCTGCCTCCGGCCATGGAGGGGAGGCCGCTGCAACGCCGACCATGTGGAGTTTGGGCGGCGAGAAGATGCCGAGTGAGGCTGCAGGGGACAACGGCATGCAGATGTCAGGCCACAGTGAGCATGCTAGCTTGAGCTCCGGACGGCGTAGGGGCCGGCCAAAAGGGTCCGGGAGACGCCAGATCCTAGCCACTCTAGGTCAGTATCTCCCTTCCAAAATCCCAAGTTTATTATACATTTTTTTGTGTGTTTGGAATATACTCATTTTTCCATTTTTGCTGGTTATTTTCTTGCTATATTCGCCATCGTTTGTGGATTTTTCTGTTTCATTGCCTTGGATGGGGTCCAGTCAGGGTGATGTGTAAGCTGCCTTTTGTGCTGAAGGAAGGCTAGCTAGTCAATAACCGTTAGTTAGCACAGTCCTGTTCTGCTGTTCTTGTATTGTCGCATTCGTCCCCTATTTTTGTTCAAGTGATTATTTTTGTTTTCCCCCCTTTCTTCTCAGTTGGTACTAACCTTACTTTTGAAGATTTTGTCTAATTTCTGTAGATTATTATAATGCAATTAAGGTTTTGTTTCACATGGTCTTGTAGTCTGGTTATTCAGAAAATGCGCATTTGCTTGACTGATTGGTATTCTGCAATGCTTGTAAAGGGGAATGGTATGCGCTATCAGCTGGAGGGAGCTTCACCCCTCATGTCATCATCGTAGGCACAGGGGAGGTAAACCCTCTATGTTATTATTCCTTTTTCACAGGTCATGACTAGCTTGGCATTGTGATCTGGTAGCGAGAGAATGAACACTGACTGTTCTTGTGCAATCCGTTGGTACTTGGTAGGATGTGGCGGGGCGCATAATGTCCTTCTCTCAGAAGGGTCCACGCTCGATTTGCATCCTCTCTGCCAATGGGACCATCTCCAATGTGGCATTGAGCCAGCCTGGCTCGTCCGGTAGCACCTTCACCTACGAGGTATGGAATGGAGTTGCATCTTATGATGGTTCTATGATACTTGGCAAAGTTGTGATCTTTGACCTGCTAGCTTTTGTTAACTTTTGATGGGTATGTACAAAGTCCTGAATAAGCTGAACCATTTTGGTCTATTTAGTTTGGGGTCTTCTCTACCAAGTCTTTTAGGTCCCATATCACCACTGTAATAAATAACGGAGTAAATACGACAAATGGTTTTCTTGCCTAAATGTTCTATGAGGGGGTATATTTTGACATTTCATCTGTTTCATCTCAATTATCTGAGTCTTAAGTCTTAGCTACCTCATGTAAGATGCTCTTGAAGGTTTCGTCACTAAAAGTCGGTAATACTCTGCTTAAATGACTTTACCATTTTTCGCTCCATCCATGATAGCTCACATTGATTTTGGGCAGTTTGTGTTATCGCATATTATGCATGACTGAAAGTTGTACATGAGGCTCAGGAACATCATCCTGGAAACAGTCAGCAACTAGCATGGGATGTGTGCTAAGGGTTAAGGTGTCCCATCCATAAGACCATAACTCCATATATATAACTGCAAGCATAAGAGACAAAAAGTTTCATTTGGATGGCCGTATGAGTGTAGGATAACAATTTAAGAGAAGTCGTCATATATCCTGCATATGAGTTTGTATTTACGGTGCTCATTTTCAAACTCTTAAGACTAAATCATCTCGTATATCTGATTGTCAGGGTCGGTTTGAGATTCTGCAACTGACTGGCTCCTTTACAATGGCGGAAGAAGGTGGTCGGAGGAGAACTGGTGGGCTCAGTGTATCGCTTGCCGGTCCTGATGGCCGTGTCGTTGGTGGTGTAGTAGCTGGGATGCTGCGTGCCGCAAGCCCTATTCAGGTAAAAAGAGAACTGGGCATCTTCTACCAAATCAACCAATACACTCAACAATTAACTCAACAAGACATAAAACATTGATCTCCTCTTGTCTCATTGCCATTGTTAAACGCAAATACCATTTTTCCCTGTTCACTAACACAAACCTCTTGGACAGGTGATTGTGGGGAGCTTCCTGCCCAACAGCCTAAAGCAGCATCAGAGGAGGATGGGCCTACAACAGCAACCATCTGCTGCCCCGGCACTACCACCGCCTATGGCTCCACCTCCTGTGCTCACAGCTGCAATGCCTATCTCTCAGGCAGCTCCTGGAACTAATGGTTGCCATGCGCCGCAGGTCTCATCTATGCATCCGCAAGCCCACACCGGTGTAATGGAGCACAGTGCAACAGCCAGTGGCGCCATGAACCTTAACAGCTCAAGCTCCACAGGTTTCACCATGGTTGGGTGGCCAGTCAGCTCACAGTCCATGGGGCACAGGCCTTCACCTGACATCAATGTCTGCTTAACTCCTCAGGAGTAGCATCAGCTATTGAGCTATCATCTTTTGTCACCCCCATCCCTGACACATTTTGTAGGGCATGGCTGTTAATCTTTGCCATGTGCGATGACAAATTATGGGCTCTATTCTAATCCATTAGGTCTGCGGTTTAATTTTGGGGGGAGAAACTAGGCAAGACTAAGGACAATTTAGCCAGAATCTGACAGAATGTGATAGTCTATTAGTTGCAGTTGCCCTCATCTAATTGTTAGGATATGTCATTGTGTTGGGACATCTGGTTTGTGATTCAGATTTCATTCTCGCTGTTGCTGGCTCTTGTACTTTTGCATTATGTGTGTTCCTTGGAAGATTTGGAGCTTTTGAAGCCTGTTCTACTACCACCTATAGTCCTACTATCCTATATAGTGCTAGCGTCATTCTTGATCGGTTGCTCTGTTTATCGGGCTTGTTCACTTTGATGCCATTTTCAAACTTACCAAATTTTAGTAATGTTGCTAAAAAAGTGGCTACATTTAGTTTGCTACCAAATTTTGATAACTATATAAGAAATCTTGCCAAAATTTTGGTAAGGTTTTTTTTGGCAACAAAGTGAACAGGCCCATCGTAGATCTCTAACGTCTCAGAAATGTGCTTGTCTTCTTTTAAGTAAACACAAATGTATTTATCGGTCAAACCCCATCTGGAAGAAAATAAATTCCTACTGAATACCTGAAACAATTTTTCTGATATTCCAAACAAAAATGTATAGCGCCCGATCGTCTATTGGCTTTCTTTTTTGTTTGCTTGCATTCTCTGCATTATTGTGGTTGACATCTGCGTCATATTTGTGAAGTTGGTTTGTATGGAGTTTTTGGTTTGAAAGCCATACCAAAGTATTGGCACTTTACATAGCATAGTCAGGGGTTGTCTAGATTAATGCTATTTCAAATCATACTCTTTTTTTTATAAAGTTGTCAAAGATGTGTGTACATTTAGTTTTTTACCCAACTTTGGTAAATACATAAGGAATTAGGCAACTATACAATAGTGGCTATTCTGCCAAAACTTGCAATATTGTCAACTTACTAATGTCAAAATTTGATAAGTTTATTTTGGCTATAATCTGAACAGCCCCCGAGTTTGTATCAGTCTTTAGGTCGCTGAGGATATCTCGGATCATGAGTAATGAAATTTCTGGTTTGCCTAAAAGAAAAAATATATTTCCGGATCAATGTGTTGACTTGCCGTCAAACCTTGCAACGGGCTCATACGATCGAGGATAGGCTATACGAGTCCATATATACATTTTTTTTTCTAGTGAACTGCTCTTTTTCTGGTCTTTTTGGGAGCTGGTGGTTGCTCTTCGTGCGACCTAGATGCGACATGGGGTGGAGACCGGAGAGGGCGGAAGAATCCGGTTTTAAACAGCATGTATATTTTGTTAAATATATTTGTAATAGAAACATTTGGAGTTTTTACATTATCAAGATTTTCATAATAAGGTAGTAAACTCAACAAAATCCACTGTAAATTCGCCACGATAGAAAGACGATGAGGTAAAATTCTCCGACATCTCTTTTGCTACGAGCCTACGGGATATTAGAAGCATTTCATTATTTACCTGTTGACTTTATCGAATGTTTTTTCAAAAAAAATAATACAACTTTAATGAAAATTGTGAAAATAGATATTGATCGATATAAATCCCAAATTTAGCACCGTGTTGAACAACCGTAATTTGATAAGATACCTATCAAACAACCATTGTAAAATTTTACAGATATACGTGTCGAACAACGGCCGTTCGACAGTATAGTTGACTTGATTAAAAAAAAATAGCAAGCATATGGGGTGGCCTATCAAACTCCCAAAGTTCGATAGGCCCCACAACCCACTCACATGCATGTACGCACATCCCAAGTTCTCGATTTGTTTAAACCCTATTGAACAACGATTTGTTCGATATGGTGTTAAATTTGTGATTTCAAACAATCACCATATACTTTTTACAATTTTTCATTAAAGTTGTATTATTTCAAAAGAAATTATGACTTTATCAGCTGCTTTTGAGGTCCTTTTCGCCTCAATTTATTATGAATTAAAGTTGATTTTGAGGTTTTATATTGCAGTTTATTTTTTATATTAACTTCTAAAGTCGTAAATAATACAGATATCAAACTTTTAATAGTAAATTATTCATGAATTAACCCATTTATATTTCTACTGCAAATATTATTCTCCGAGTTGAAACTAAAGATATGGAATTCCGACGACGTATTTCATGGAGACGCTTTGGGCATCCAAAGACACCTCGCCCGTGCCCGTTCCACGGGCAGGGTTTAAAATTTCGAAATTGAATTTTATGCCAGGGTTACCGAAATTATCAAAATTTTGAAAATTTCGGTAATTTCTGGCAAAAATTATTTGAAATTTTGATTGATTTTGAATAAAATTTGATCAAATTAAAAAAACCAAAAAAAATGGACGAGATTTGAGCATACCGGTAGGGGCCAAATTTCGGAAATTTCGAACCACGGGCACACAGGCACATGCACGTGACGTGACGTGGCGGGCTCTATCCTGGCTTCATCTAGAATGTCGCCTTCCACCTCCTGCCACCTTCTCCCCCTTTCCAGACTCCTCTCCACTCCTCCTCCACCGCCCCCGCCGCCTATATACACACCCGCTCGCCGCCGCCTCATCACCAAGAACGAGAACCACATCGAGCGAGCGATCCGTCGCGCACCAGCTTAATCTACCAACCAGTTCGCCGGAGAATTCAGGTGAGGATATATGGCGTACATGCGGGTGACTCACCGGGACGAGGAGGGGAAGAAGGTGACGGAGAAGGTGCCGATCCCGGAGACGCGGCGTCCCGACACCGCGAGGCACTTCGAGCGGAAGCTGGAGGAGCAAGGGTTCCACCGCCTGGAGCGCCACCCGGCGAACGGGCCCGCGCGGGCCGGCATCGGCGCGCCGCCGCCCAAGTCCGGCCGCGGCGGCAAGTTCACCTGGGAGGGGCCCGACGGCCCCGTCGACGCCCAACTCCAGCCCGCCCCGCCCGCCGTCGATCCCAACGACCCCAACTACGACGAGGGCGACGGCGCCGGAGTCGACGAGGAGGTTGCCAAGGAGGTCGTCATCGGCGAGGTGGAGGTCGCCAAGGTCGCCGAGGCCAGGGACGGCGTCGACGTCGTCGCGCCGGCGCCGCTGCTCCAGCAAGAGCAGCAGTAGTCGAGTCTCGCGCCGCGCCGCGCCCGCCATTAGCCATTTCGGAGCTGATGTCTAATGGTCGTTGTGCGTTGTGTGTGACTGCGTGTGTTTTGGGTTCTAAACTGCTATAATTACTAGTCTCCTCAGTCCTCAGTGGTTTGCATGCATGTAAAAAATCGTGTCTCGTTTAATCAATAACGGTAAACATGGATTAACTGTGGATTAGTTTTCAACTCCGTCACCTGACGGCGGCGCCGGCCGCCGGAGCAGATTCGCGTTCGGCCGGCAGCCGGGCACGGGCCCAACGAATAAGCAGATGGGCCGTGTACAATATTCGGCACGCGAGTAATTGGGCCTTTGAGAAAGTATGATATTGCGGGCTCAATTTTATAACGGACGAGTCCAGAGACGTCTCTTTATCTTATCCTAAACTACAATAGCAGAAATTTTCATCAACTTCCAAAATCAAATCGGGTTAAATTAGATCTCATAGCATCGAGTTTAAATTGTATCATAAACTGCAATACCATAAATCTTCGTCATCTTCTAAAACCGGGTTAAGAAGAATAGTTAAGAAGAAGACGTAGTGGCGTTCTAGTTAAGAAGAATAGTTAAGAAGAAGACGTAGTGGCGTTCTAGTTCTAGTTAAGAAGAAGAAAATAAAGAAAAATGAGACCCACATGTAAGTTATCACCTCACTCTACTTCCCTCCTCCTCTCCTCTCTTTCACTTTGTCTCAACGGCAAACACTGGGGGTGAGCTTCGATCTTAGCCTCATCGGCGAGCTGGGTAAGCAGGAGCACCACGACCAGGCACCGGAGGTCATGCGCAAGTCCGTCGTCCTCAAGAACAGCTTGGCGACATGCCGCTATCCAAAGAAGTCTCACTCCATCCTCATTGCCAGCGGCGCCGACGACATCGGTAGCCAGTACGGCGGCTAGCTAGACCATCACCTGGCAAGTGGCAAGGCCTCGCTAGGAATAACCTCACCGCCGACACCACAATCGAGGGTGGTGATGCCGGCGGTGAGGTTGTTCCCGGTGAGGCCCTGTCAGGTGATGGTCCAGTCGCCGCACTGGCTGCAGAGCAGCTGCCGAGGTCGTCAGCGTGGTAGGTAGCGATGAGGATGGAGCGAGTCTTTTTGGGCAACGGCAGCAGCGCCACGTCGTCGGGTTTGCCGTTCTTGAGGAAGATGAGGGACTTGCGCACAGCCTCCTGCGTTGGGTCACGATAGTCTTTCTTGCCCAGCTCTCCAACGAGGTTGAGGTTGGAGCTTACCACCGGTGCTCGACGGCATGGAGGAGATGAGAGGAAGAGAAGAGAGGAGAGGGTAACTTGGAAGTATTGGTTGAAGTGAGGTGGCCACTTACAAGTGGGCCCCATGTATATTTTTAAAATTTTCTTCATTCTGACTAGGATGCCATGTCAATAAAGTCATCTATTCATAATTTCATATTGCTATGAGGTCTAATTTAAGCCAGTTTTGTAAGTTGAGGGGCGATTTAAGAATACGGTTTAAACTCCGATAGAAAGATGAGGAATGTCAGGTGGACTTATTCCATTTACAACGGAAGTATTCGTGTCAGTTGGGCCCACTCAATACGGGCACACATTTTGCTAAGCTCGACGTAGTTTTTGGGCCTTCATGCTAAGTGGGCCTTGACATTAGTAATGGAGGCCGAAACGGTATATTGTCGCACGTGCGGGCCCAATTAATGTGCGAAAAAAGTGTGTTCGAATAATGGGCCTCTGGCACCGCACCGAACTGTGCTTAGTATTGGGCTACGCCTTAAATTGGCCCACGACCGCACAGCTCTGCTCTTCTCCATGCATGGTCGGTTTCGTGGGCTAGGTTTTCGCGGCGGCGGCGGCGGCCGTCGTTCGCATCGCGGCGGCGCTGCAGCGAGAACGCCGTCTCGGCTCGCGTCTGGAATTGCTGCTCGGTGGCATCGCCTTCGGATGTGCTCGACACCACCAGCGGGAGCCGGGGAGGTAGTGCGCCACCCGGGAGCAGACAGCTTGGAAATGGATCGTCTCCACCGCCGGCGACATCGTCGGCTGAAAGGAGAAGCTCGAGGTGAGGTGGTCGTCTCGCCCATTTCTACATGTACCTTGTCCCCTCCCAGGAAAAGGCCGTGCAAGTTAATGCCGTCATTTCTCTCTTTCGGTTGCTTAATTCGTGTAGGATCCGTTCCTGGTACTTGGAGGATTGAACAGAGTAATTTAGTGATCAATTTGTGATGATGATCGTGCAGGTGCGTTCAGTTTGGAAACCTCTCTGAAGATCCATGCCATCAGTTTGCATCCTGGTGCTTCCATTGAACACCAACTTAGTTATGTTTTCGCCAATTGTGGATGTAATTCCATTTTCAATGTCAGTGAGTTAGCTATATGCTTGATAGGGTAGGTATGTCAAATTTATAGTTTAAGTAATTCATTTTCTATTGATTGCTCTTTCACAGTAAAGAGTTGCGAGCCAGAGTTTCTGATATCTTCTTGAACTTGTCTTTAAAAGCTATCGACATATCGGGCGTTTCGATGGTGGTGAGTAAATTTGATCATTGGACTCTTTGGTACTGAGGCAGCTGATTGTATCACTTACATTTAATATCTGAGAATGGATTTTAACGACCAATATATATAGTTTTCACTTCTCAGTTTGCAAGATATTAACTCTGCTGTGGTTAATCTCTGGGAGAATATCTTGGTTGTAGTTTTGAAAAATTAAATCGTTGGTATCCTATCCATCTAGAGTGGAGGGTAATGTAAAGATGGCAACCTCATTTGGCAGGTCATTGATGGACTGAAATGTTTCATGGACCTTAATCTTCCATTACAGACGACATTCTTAGCGGAAGTTCCTCTTGCCAAATCCTTGACTGGGGTTCTCAAAATCTGTGGTCAGGTGCTGCCTGAATTTCTTTAAAATTTACAATCCTCGTAGCAGGATTGGCTTTTACTTGTTAACTGTCATATTATAACATCACTCATGCTCTTCTTGTCACCAAGCAGATTTGTCACTGCTGTAAGTTTTGACTGTTTTGTGTTCCTTTTCATCTAATTCTCATGTGTCTTCATTAATGATACACTTTTCGTTGGAGTAGTTCTTAACTTCTTGTTTTGAAAATGCAGTTAAGTACTTTGCCTGTAAGAAGTTATACTCAATGCATCCAATGTTGTCAGACGAAGAAGTTACAGTAACAAGGTGCAGACTGCTAAAGTCACCGACTTCTATGATTGTGATCCAGCAAATCCTGGACAGCCCTTTGCACCATTCCTCTTTTTCAAGCGAAGCAAAAAAAGGTACACAACACACAGTGAATCAGTGACAGATCTCTGTATCTTTAAAGTGCATGAACATGTCTAAGGAGTAACTTCTTTTTATGCACTCCTTTTTGGTACGATCCTCTTCATCTTGCTCTCTTCTCCCATTCCGTGCATTTCAAACACATCAATAGATTCTTGTGCTGCTGAGCTGATGGCAATAAGAAAGAAAAGCTTCTCTGCTTCAGCATCTTTCTTCATCAAGTGTTCGTCCTAGGCTCCTAGTAATCACTGTAAAGAGCCTTTTGGACTGGAGCTAGATGGCTAGATGCTGAACAATCAATCACAAAATGGAAGGTCATGGTGTGTTGGGACCATGATCAGCAAATGGCATGTTGATACATCACGAAAGCTAAGTTTTGCATGTACAGCTTGGTGTGTCATATCAATCTATGATCACCTCTGCTTGCTGCTTTAAGCCTCTCTTCTTTTGTAATAGGCAACCTGTGATTTTGTTCTCTCCTATGATTCCTCTGAAGTTAAGTCTCAGTGGCAAGCAATTCCAGCATTTTGCAGACAATGATCCAAACAAAAAATTAAAATTCCTACTTATCTTCATGAAGCTTCCATGCACAAGCTTGTTGTGTATTACTATCACCTCTGATTGCTGCTTTAAGTCTCTTCTTTTGCAGGCAACCTGTGATTTCGTTCAATCCTACGATTCCTCTGATGTTAAATCTCAGTGGCATGAAATTCGATTGCGTTTTGCAGACAATGATCCAAGCAAAGATATTCCTTCTCATCTCCATCTTCGGAGACGAATAAACATGGACACTTGATGCAGAAGCCTGTCTTGGAGAAACATCTCTGATGGATGGACGAGGCAATTCAGCAGAGCCCTTCTTTGTCATGACTACCATATCTGTCTCTCTGCACAACTCAGATCTTCTCCACAGGTAACTAAAATAGTTAAGAGCACATGATTAAGCATGCATTAAACTAGTCAAGTACCCTCCTTTTGGCAGCAAGCTCGATCGAGCTTATCGTAATCCCTGTGCAAAGGTAGTTCAGGCCAAAAACAGATACATTGATTAATTGGGTTAGCACAAGTATTAAATTTGCAAGTTGACACTTAAAGAGGGGCGATGATGCATCGCATCTCTTGCAAGCTTGCCTCCATGGCCATCCAAGCCTGTCAGCGTCACTGATTATACTAATTAAGCATGCAGTGTAATCATGCTTTCATGCTCCATTTGTTTTGTTGTTTGTGTTGATTGATTGGTGTGCGAGAGTCCTATTTTTTCATGAAAAACTTTGTGCCCGCTCCTTTTCCTTCGATTTGGAGATCGGCCAAGTTCGCCTTTTTATTATGAGGCGTGGAGAATGTCGTGTTAAAAAATACTGTATGCAAGGACATAGGGCAGAGGAATACCTGCTTATAAAATACGGCTTATGAAAAGAGTAGCCTATCAGTTTGTCAGATTAATTATGGAATTGTGCCTGTGGTTACGTCGAATGCCAGGTAAATGAACTTAATAGTCTAATCTTAAGTTGAAATTGTAAAACTATAATATAATCAATCCTAAAAATTGTGTACACGACTACATGAGAATATGATATCAATCAATAACCTATGTACACAAATAATGTATACATTTATTACAAAATAATTAACAGAGGCCTATATATATTTACAAATAAATGATACTCCATTCGTTCCAAGCTAACCAACTAAGATGGAGGGAGAGTGTATGATCACCCGCAAGTCCGGCCTTATCAAATGGTAATTTTATCATCTTAAGAAATTATTAGGACGTATCATATTTTGTAGAAGAAATTTTATGGTCCTTGAAAAAATACCTCGAGGTATCTAAATTTTACACTAAATTTATTGGTACCTTGAGGTACTTAAGTAATAGTGTAAAATTTGGTACCTCCAGATACTAAGTACCTCGAGATATCAAAAATTTTAGTGAAAAAATTTAGATACCTCAACGTAATTTCTCAATTACCGTAAAATTTCTTTATCAAAGAGTACAGATTTCTGATACATTTGCGTATTAATTAAGCATTCTGCTAGCTAGCTAGCTATAGTGTGCTATGGTTTCAACACAAGATCTATGAAAGCTCTGATATCCTCAAAGAAAGGGAGAAGCTAATAATTAACTAGCTAAATCTTTTATCTCATCCAATTGCAGTATGGTTTATGGGCGTACATATGGCCATGCACGAGGATAAACGTTAACGTCCCTCTCTCGGCATGCTAAATTTAGCTTTTGCCCATAACCTTTTATATACATGTATATACTCCCTCCGTACTAATAAAAGAAGTCGTTTAGGACAGCGACTCAGTCTCCAAAACACAACTTTAACTTCTTATTTCTATATTTATTAAAAAGTGATATATGTATATTTTTATGAAAATATTTTTTAAGACAAATCTATTCATATAATTTTTACATTTTCAAACTCAACAACTTAAGAGTTATTCATGATTTATATTTCTAAAGTTTGACTTAAACATTGTCCTAAACGACTTCTTTTACGAGTACGGAGGGAGTACTATATACTACATATATGTGGTTAATAATATCTGCAGTTTTATTGTCACTAACTCGATCGATCACCATCAGCTTGATCACCATATATGATTGTTCTACAGAAAAGGTGATCAGCTTGGTCACCATAATTGTACTAGAAAATTAGATTGGAGGGGTCCCAGGCAATGCACGCACGCACGAGTTCTTGCTACTTTTAGTTTGTGAACGCATCAAACTCACCCCGTTGATTAGCGGTAGCTAGATTGCAATGTGATACTGTGATTAATCTGTCCTTAATTTGCAAATACTGTTGGCATGCACTAGCTAATTAAGCTGTCAGCAATATATAGCATCTGTAAAGAGAAGATGCATGCACATGGTAATTAAGTTGCATCACAGTACTAGTTTTCATGGCTTAGTAATAATTAGCACTTGCTGTGTACATCCACTTTGAATGTAGGGGTTGGTTTAATATAAACCATTACCTAAAAAAATAAAGTAATTAACACGTGGAATGCGTGTGGATGCCGATCGACTCATCGATCAATATTGTTCTTGAGCAGATTAAGCCAAATCAAATACGTATATAGGAGTATGAAGATAGGATAGTATGTGTACGCTGTACCTAGGAGACTTCTAATTAAAGGAAGAATCTAGACTCTGAAAGTATTGGTCTGACAAATACAGCATTACTTGGTGACCAAAGCTAATGTAATTTAAAAACAAATCGGTCGAGTGATCTATGCATGCATCAACAATTCCACCAACCTGCAAAATGGAATTAAACTGAACTCTCTTCGTCACAAAATAAACCAACTTTTAGGATTTAAAATTTATTCCAAAATAAATTAACTTCTACCTTGTTACCTACCATCATTCCGTAAATCAACAAGTTTTATCTCTTCAATACTCCACACCTACCCACTCATTAATTAGGGGCATTTTGGTCATTTGCTATTTCCTTGTATCTATCTTAGGAAGCTAAGGTTGGACATAGAATGGGACAGAGGGAGTAACTCTGTAAGGATGGTTTATTAAGTGGTGATGTGTGTACTGCTCTGCTACTGCATATGTCAAAAAGGTTGCGCGTGATCGTGTGAGGTAGGTCTAAAAAAAATATCATAAACCCTTTTAGATCTCATTCGTACGTCATGCTCACCGAGATCGTAACCAACCATATGATCGATTGATATTTACTTTTCGGACTATATATATAACATCATATTTGTATTAATAAATACAACTAATGTTTTGCAGTACTAATTATAAATCTTATACTGTAAATTTGAAAAGTTAATACTCCCTCCGTCCTAAAATATAAGCATTTTTAGTGTGTGTCTGATTCATAGTTAAAAGTGGCTATATTTTGGGACGAAGGTAGTAGGTGTAGTTTTTTTATAATACATACTACATAAGAGAATTATGATAAAAAAAAAATTTATTACCTACTTAAAAAATAAGGGAGAGGTAGCAGTGTCATAGGAGTATTAGTGACAAAAATCAAGAAAACAAAATATGACACCGTATCTTTGAAGTTGAACTGTGAACTTTCTGGTCGATCGAAGTTGTGCGTAATTGGAATGTGATGAGAAATATATATACATAGTGCATTCCAGACTAGCCAGCTGAAAATGATAGGGCAAGCTCAGCACTTACAATGAGCACAAGATGGTATGTATACATTACATCCTCATCCATTAACTAAGGGTGTGTTTGAGGAGTAGGAGATTAGAGTGATTGGGAAGATAGCTCATGATTAATTGAGTATTAACTATTTTAAATTTCAAAAATGGATTAATATGATTTTTTAAAGCAACTTTCCTATAGAATTTTTTTGCAAAAAATACATCGTTTAGTAGTTTGAAAAACGTGCGCGCGAAAAACGAGACTCAATCTCCCCTATCTCGCCAGAACGAACATAGCCTAAATATTCCTCGCAGGCCGGTTTACATTCAAGTGACATCTCACGATCCATATACTCCGTACTCGTAAAGGAAGTCATTTAGGACAGCGACACGGTATCCAAAACATAATTTGACTTCTTTTTTCTATAAAAATATTTATTAAAAAGTGATATATGTATACTTTTATGAAGTATTTTTCAAGACAAATCTATTCATATAATTTTTATATTTTCAAACTCAATAACTTAAGAGTTATTCATGATTTATATTCTCAAAGTTTGACTTAAACATTGTCCTAAACTACTTTTTTTTATGAGTATGGAGGGAGTATATTATAAATCAGTACGTAGTTAAGTTTGTTGATTAATTTCACCTATATAAATTTCATGGATCGAGCTGGGGTGCATGACGTAAGCGTGAATGACACCAAGTGATGCAAATTTCTGTTGTTAATTCAAGGTGTGTGTTTAGTTCCTGAAAAAAGTTGGAAGTTTGGGAAAAGTTGAAAGTTTGGAAAAAAAGTTAAAAGTTTATGTGTGTAGAAAAGTTTTAGATGTGATATGATGTGATGGAAAGTTGAAAGTTTGGGGTAGTTGGGGGTGAATTAAACACGGCCTCAGTCGATCAAGCTGGTCACGGCACTATGCTTGCGGAAGAGGATTCTCTAACTTACTTCCCTCTGACTTTAAGTCACTGATATGTACTCCCTCCGTCCTACAATATAAGGGATTTTAAGTTTTTGCTTGCAACGTTTGACCACTCATCTTATTTAAATTTTTTTTGCGAATATAAAAAATGAAAAGTTGTGCTTAAAGTACTGTAGATAATAAAGTAAGTCACAAGTAAAATAATTAATAATTTCAAAAACTTTTGAATAAGACGAGTGGTCAAACGTTCCAAGCAAAAACTCAAAATCCCTTATATTATGGGACGGAGGGAGTATGGTTCACTGGATAGAGGGTCCACACGTTAGTGACACAAGTTTCTCTTATATTATAGGACGGAGGGAGTAGAGTTCGCTGGATAGAGGGTCTACATGTCAGTGACACAAGTTAGAGGAAGGTAAGTTAGAGGATCTTAGTCCCATGCTTGCATGTACGTACTCAATTCAACTCCATCCATTTCATTTCAATTAATTACATCAGCATTTCAATTACTCCTAACCAGCATGCATGCATGCGCGCCCTGTTGGATACGGAAAAACGGCGTGGGTATCCATGCTTGACTGCCGCGTAAGCACAGATGCATGCATGCCAACGTACGTGACGTCGCTAACGTGTGCCCAATTAATCCCAGAGATCGCTATACACACACGCGCGCGTATAATATCCAACTGCATGCACACTTGCAGAATTTTCGTCGAGATATGATATATATACGCCATCCATGACGTACTGAGGCCCGTTCGAATCCAGTTATAAAATGAGAAAAAAGAATAATTGGCACACATAATTAATTAAATTTTCCCTGCAAAAATAATTTTCAATTATTTAAAAGTTGAAAACTTGATTTGTCTAATACTAGCAACTTTAATATATATAAATAATTTTTTTTGCAGGAAATACACCTAATAGCAGTTTAAAAAACATGCAAACAAAAAGCGAGATAAATTTTTTTCTCCCTCCATCCCATTTTAAGTGTAACCATGATTTTTCGTGTCCAAATTTGATGTCTTATCTAAAAGATTTTTTAAAAAAATTTAAAAACATAAGTCATGCATAAATTACTATTCATGTTTTATTATCTAATAGCAATAAAAATACTAATTATAAAAAAATTTCAAATAAGACGAACGATTAAAGTTAGGCACAGAAACTTACGGTTGTACTTAAAATATTTTAAGACTGTCCCCAAGAGAAGCAACCTAGGAGGGGAACAATGAATCTGTACCAAGAGTTGTCTAGATTTATTGGGGTTGTCTTTTTTTATTTTTACAGACATAGGATTGTCTAGATTCATTGGGGTTGTCTTTTTTTTTTTAAAGGCAGAGGAAGTATATCTAATCAGACCTAACTTAATCCATTGATGATACGCGCACCTCTCATCTCTCGATCGGCGCCTGTGCCCCTACGTCTCTGTCACCGCACGAACGAACGATCATCGACTAGACTGATGCAAACCCATGCATGCGCGGATGCGCCGCCGTCGTCGTCGTCAGTGTGCTGTGCTCCTACTACACTGTAGATGGAAGAACAGTGTAGTAGGAACCATGCCCATGCATGCAGTGATATGATGCAGGCCATGAGCTATTGAGCTACTACTAGCTAGCTATGTGATGGGAACAGTCGCTAGCAAGGCTACTACATTCGACAGTGCAGGGGCAGCATGCAACAGCTACAGCAGCCGCCGTTGACTCGTATTCGTGCTCCCTCCGTTACTAAATATTTGACACCGTTGACTTTTTAAACACATATTTAACCGTTCGTCTTATTCAAAACGTTTAAGTAATTATTAATTCTTTTTCTATTATTTAATTTATTGTTAAATATACTTATATGTATACAAATAATTTTACATATTTTATAAAATCTTTTGAATAAGACGAACGGTCAAATATGTGCTAAAAAGTCAACGATGTCAAATATTTAGAAACGGAGGGAGTATATATGAACAGGACAAGTTCATATATATGGAACTGTGAGAAGGAAGAAGAGGAAAGGGTGGCGCCATGATGGATCAGGATCGACTTCACGAGCCCACGCTGCCGATGGATGAGATGATTGCTCAAATGGTTATAAAAAAGTTAAAAATAATTGAGAAAATGTATTAACATTAGATATATCATTTTCACAAACATGCAAAGTTAAATTTCACTTTTACGTGTTATATAAAAGATAAATTTAACTATAAATATACGTTAACTAGCTATAGTTTCATTTGTTTTATTTTTACAACTTGTAAAAGTTGAACGAAAGGAGCAGGTTTACATTATCGGTTGACCACTAAATTTTGAGCCTCATCAGTATCACGGTTTTCAATAAATTTCAACTGAATATACTGTTTAACCTTCGAAATCTCAATCGAAACTTAATTCCGAGCCATGTCGAAACATCGAAATTTTACGGAATTCGACCGGTTTTCGTCGGAATTGTGAACAGGGAGTATCTTACTCACATGCTCCGGTTTGATTTTCCTCGTGGATTTATCCTCTTCTCCCGTCGCCATCTCCCTCGTCACGGCGCGCGTGCCGGCCGGATGAAGGGTTGGTTTGGTTTGTGGCCTAAATAGACCTTACCAAATTTTGTCAATGCCCAAATTTTGATAAGTTTTGGCATGACTAATTTTGGTATGGCAAAGTTGTGTTTGGATTGAAGCCAAAACAGCCTAAGTTCACTATTAAAATGGCCTATTTTCTTAGACATACTAAAATTTGGCTTCAAACCAAATAGACACTAAACACTATTGAAATTGTCAAATATTGGTAAGCCTAATTTAAGCCTCAAACCAAACCAGCCCGAAGTCTTCAGTCTTCACGCACGCTGCACACATGCCACTACCTCCACCACTCCACTGTAGATAGTGGCCATGGCGCCAATGATGCAGCCAAGCAGAGCTCTGAATGCGTATGCATGCAGAAGCAGCAGCTGCAAATGAACAGAGCATGCGTAGCCGCTGCTACTGTCTGTGTGTGTCTACTATTCCCTCAGTTATAAAACAAATACTACTCCCTCCCTTATAGTATGAAGGATTTTAAATAGATGAGACAATTTCTGTACAAATTCATTGTACTTATAGTAATTAAGTGTCATATCCATTGAAAATCTTTTATAATTTGAGATGGAGCGAGTACTTGACATTTGGCAATGGCCATTGGCTGGCCAATACGGATTGGCAGATTATTGCAGATCAGAGAGATGGGTGGGTGTGTAGACTTGGCGGCTTCCTTCCTTCCATCAAACGTGCTGCTGCTAGCTTGGGCGTGGGTCCCACTTCGCCAGCTGTTACTGTGTGGGCCCCGTTCCTGCCCTAGCTCTGCAAGCTCAAGCTGCCGAGCTGGCTGCCACGTCCACTCCACAGATGCAGATGCAGCAGCTCTGATGATCTCATGAATCTGCTACCTGCTGCTCATCATCAGTTCTGTGCAACTGTGTTGAAAAACGAAACACAAACAGTTTTTGGGACAAGGAAATGTTGGAAGTTGCGTCGGGGGAGGGTCTGATGATCAATTCAATCTCTCCTCCGCCGAAGAACAAAACAAACAAATCCAATATTAGATGCAAGGAGAACGACCTGCGAGTTCACTTAAAGGTTAAATAGATGATAACCCATGAATTTTCGCGTCGTGGCCTAACTTATCAGATCTAGATATACAAATGGGTCAATTTATAAACTTATTTATAGATCAAATTAATAGGTAACCTGCAAGTCAAATCCGTTGATTCGCGGATAAGCCCGCTCGCACCCCTAGGAGGAGGGTCTAATGATCAATCCAATCTCCGCTGAAGAACAAAACAAACAAGTTATAGTATTCTCTGCTCTCGTCTCTGAATTCCACCAACTTCATTTGCTCAAATCCAAAGCGTCAACATATACAAGCACATTAAGGGCCCCTTTGAATCGGATGATTGCTATAGGATTTTTGAAGCATTCAGTTTCCTAAGGAATTTTTTCTATGGAACTCTTTAATTTATAAGAAAGAATAGGATTGTATTTCTATTGCGCAATTTCATAGAAAAATAAACAAGAGGTCTAACATCTTAGAAATTTTCTTTTGATTCATTGTTTCCTATGGTGATATTAAAGGGATCCTCTTCATATTTACTCGGTTTTCTATTCCTGTAGGATTATGGAAATATGTCACTTCAATTCTTATGTTTTTCCTATTGTTGTGTACTATTCTTCATTTCAAAGGGGCCCTAAAATAAAAGTAAAATTGATACTACAATTTACATGGATTGGCTGGGTTCATATTGCCAGCAGATTTTCCAGTGTGCAATGAGCAGCCAGAAAATGATTAATAACGTAAGCAATTAAGGGCTTAATTACTTTATTGTAAGAAAAACATTACCAATATTTGGTAATACCAAAATTTGGCATTACCGAATTTTGATAAAGTAAGGTAAATTTTAGTTGAAATTTTGTGAGTGGAAAGTTCCGGAATTACCAAAATTTGAAAGGATTGTGTTGGTAATGGTATGTTTAATTTGCTACCTTACAAAATATTGATAATACCAAAATTTAAAAATGTTGACAAAGTGAATAAGCTCTAAGTTCGGTTAATAGGCTGACAAAGGATCCATTTTTTTCTATTTCCTCATGCTATTTCTTGTTGCAAAATACCAATCAATATATTCAGCTCGTTGTGTTGGCGACTTGGCGCAAATGTTGTACCCGTGAAAATGGGGCTAGTGTCAGCGCATTATCTCTCACAAGAGTTCTATTTTTCTGGATTAGACGAAAACACAAGTAGTAATATTATGCAACAATCAACTATTGCGTTCCCTTTGCCTTGTCTCCGACATATATATCCATTTCATACAGCATCCCTTTATCACCAATGTCCAATATGCTTTTCTTTTCACACACACAGTAGTTCAGATGACCCACAAACCAAATTTACGATTGTTTCAAGAGTTGAAATTCTGCTAGTAGAAAATTATCACTAATTAAATAGCCATGTTTAGTTGGTTTTTAGACTAGACCTAACTCAGGCCAACCGCAAAAACTTTGCGTTTTGACCAACACGGTAGTGGCAGTTACCGTAGCATGAACTAGGTGTAGTTTGTTTGGCACCTTTGAGCCTCTGTTTGTTTTGGAAAAAAAAGTTTTATTAGCAGCTTAAAAATAATTTATAGGTAAAACTTTTCTTTTTTTTGAGGATTAAAAAAAAGAAGAAAAGTTAATATTCTAATCGATTTAAAAGTTAATATATATTGGAAAATAGAGTATGATTAAATACCCTCAAAATCAACTCTAAAAATAAGTTTCAAAATTTAAATTTTGACCGCATGCAGCTGATAAGCCAAAAGGCAAACGACAGCGTTGTTTGTTGCCGCGAGAAAGGACTGGAATTCTAATGGAATTTCTAGCTTGTGAATTTCTTATCCCTAGGTTTCTTTGCCCCCATATTTTGGTGATTGGAGAAATTAAGGGCCCCTTTGATTTGGAGGAAAAACATAGGAATTTTAGAGAATTTTAATCCTATAGAAAAATTTCCTATGAAGCCATTTGAAATAAAGGATTGAATCATATTCAATCCTTTGAAATTCCTATGGAATGGACAATCCTATAAAAATTTTGGAGGAAATTTAGCAAGAGCTTCAACCTCTTGCTAACTTTCCTTTGAGTCTATCTCTCTCATCCAAGTCCTGTGTTTTTCATGTGGTTCAATCAAACGGTCATTCCTGTGTTTTGCAATCCGCTGTTTTACACTTACATTCCTATCAAAATCCTACGTTTTTCCTATTTCTACGTTTTCTCAATTCTGCGATTAAAAGGGGCCCTAAAGGATTGATAATTTTTACATATATATATATATATATATATATATATATATATATATATATACATTAACTAATCTTAAATCTACCCGTGTTTTGTATGCATGCGGCCGATCCTTATAAAATTAACAATAATCCTGCCCTGTCTGGCCACTTCCTGTGTACTGTACATGTAACATGTGTTTTTCAGTTCACTGTGTGTATCAAACAACGGCAAGTTGCAACGAAAGCAAGCCACTTCGCCCGATTATAAATAGCCTCCACTACTTCTACTACTCGCCGCCACCCAAACCCAAAGCAGCAATTGCAAGAAGCAAAATCTCTTCTCCTCCTCCTCCTCCTCCTCATCATCATCCTCCTCTCGCCCTTCGACAACGCACCATAGTTTAACCCAAGCTAGAAGAAGAAGACGATAGATATGAGCACTACTCGCGGCGTCTCCTCCTCTTCTGCTGCTGCTGCTCTTGCGCTGCTTCTCCTCTTCGCCCTCTGCTTCTTCTCCTTCCACTTCGCCGCAGCTGCTCGCGCCGTTCCTCGTGATGAACACCAAGGTAGCTAGCTACAGCACTTGGATTATTGATTGTTCAATTGATAGTGTATGCAAATTAGCTGACGTTTTGGAGCTTTTCTTTTCAGAGAATGGCGGTGTCAAGGCAGTAGCAGCAGTTGCAGCTGATCAGCTTGTGCTCCAGCTGGAAGGTGACACCGGCAATGGCGACGAGGTCTCCGAGGTGAGAATCGATGGAAATATACAGAGCTATAAATCTTCGAGTACCTAGCTGATTAGACAAGAATTGATGAAGAAGCAATTAGTGGTAACTAATCTTGATTGTTAATTTATTTCTATCTTGTTCTTGGTCAGTTGATGGGAGCAGCTGAGGAGGAAGCAGCAGCATGCGAGGAGGGGAAGAACAACGACGAGTGCGTGCAGAGGAGGCTGCTCAGCGACGCCCACCTCGACTACATCTACACGCAGCACAAGAACAAGCCTTGATCGATCGATCCATCCATCCAACTACACGCTGAAATCCAAAGCTAATACAAGGAAGATCGAGATCGAGATAAATTAACCAACTCTATATGCATATCTATCTATCCATCTACCTCTGCATGCTGTTTTCACTGCATCGATCGCTACTGTTCTGCAGTGCCAATCACTGTCCGTTTCTGTACAATCTGTGATACTACTAGCTAGTAGCAGTACATGGCATCGTTTTCCTTCAAGTGTTCGTTGGCTTTTACTTAGTCCGGTGAGTGCTTGTGGGTTATTTCTGACGAGGGAGTGTGATCAGTACGCGTACTAATGGTATTTTGGTTTGTCATGGCATGATGAAATTAAGCTGTGGTAGCAATATAATGCATATATATATTACCTTTGTCTCATGTCCTTAGTATGTAGTAGTGGTAAATAGTACATAGCATGAATAATATACTTATCAAGGAACACTTGTGTTTTGTTTAATGGCGCATGTCTGTCTTCCTGTCTGTAAAAAAGTGTAGTACTTAATTTCTTCGTTTTTTAATGACCGACCAACGTTAAGCCGAGCTATACAAACTTGGACAGTTCTTCTTTCAACAATGTTTTTACAAATGGCTGGAACTTTACCGGAGCAAAAAAATTCTGACAAATAAATTAACATCAATTTCAACGTACAATATAAAGCAAACAAAAGATGTTATCAATCAGGGTTTATCTCTACCACCTTAAAAGCGGATTCATCGTCCTCCTCAACATCGTAATCCCGCACGTAAAAAAAACAGTTTCCCAAAAAAACACCCCACCCAAAGATCAATATTTTCACACAAAAATTTAAAAGGAATGGATAGAAAAAGAACAAAACCCTATAATTCCAGTGCCATTGCAACGTACGGGCATGACACTTGTAAATACTAAAATGCGAATAAAATATAACGAAACCTCAACATTTTCTCGACACTAATAGTTCTCCCAAGAGAAACTTAATCCTTTTTTTTTTTAAAAAAAACTACCAGTCCAGGATCCTACTAAGATCGATTGATCAGTCACTCTCTGTCAGTCTGTCTACAGTGCCCAAGTCATGGGCAATTTTGTATCAAGTCTTTGTTCCAGATTCCACATCATGGTCATCAGAAGTCAACACCGTGGATGCAGCTAGCTGCTATACAGAGGCTTTGATAAATCTCATCTGACCAGCAAAAGGGGAACACACGAAGATTCTCCCCACATGCGTTGGCATGCAATGATTCAGTCACACTGCTAACATAGCTACCTATCTCTATCTATCTATCCCCATGACATTGCAAATTATTGTACTATGTATCGATCGAGCAATTTGTGGTTAGCTTTTTCACAAAGATGCTGTGGTAGATGCGAAAGATGTCGTCGAGTTGGAGCCTCGAACCAGCAGTCAAAAATTCAGACCGAGGTGATCACAAAGCTCATTAGTATCTGAGTATCTAGGTATGTGTGAGCTAAGGTCGTAGGTTACACATACACACGTACTGTCTGATCATAATCTGATCTAATCGTCGAAATATAAAATTGACTATCTTTTCTTATCACTTTAAGTTTTTGTTGAACTAATTGTTGCATACAACTCAATACTGAACTTTGATTGCTGACCATGCACGATGTCTTGTTTGGAAAAACATCGGAACTTCTTTTAGTATCATATAGCTCTAGAATCTAGAAAATAAACTAAAAGTTAGATGCTACAAAACACAGTTCTTCTTGGTTCTCACCGGTGGGCTACTCACCATCTATTTTTTAGGATCTTTAGCTCGCTAAACAGGGACTGAGCTTAATTTGATATAGTAGAAAGTGAACTGCACGCCCGTGCACTAGTGTATGTTTGGGTTAAGCTGAGTGGCCAATAGTGATCAGCTCCATTATATATATCTGAATCTGATGACTAGTGAACTAGTGATAAATCACTAGTGTGAGTAGTCAGTGACGACATACATATGATAGAATCTTAGTTGGGCATGCATATGTTGCTGCTGTTGTGCTGTTGTCTGAAGATATGAGTATATATAGTAGCCGTAGTGTGGTGTAGTGCGCGCGAGTGGGGTTTTAATTGGTTAAAAGCATGTTGGTTGCTGGTAGCTAGGTGTCAGGTTCCCTCACTAGTTGATTACATGATTCATGGCTTTTTCGAAATGCATGATTTTTAAAACACATGAACAAAAGGAAATACATATATAACTAAAATACTATAACATCTCAAATTTTATGGATTGAAAAAAATGAATAACAATAATATGAATGACCATTTAAATAGGGCATAGGAAAAAAAACGATGGAATCAGAAGTTGGAGAAAGATTTTCCCAAATCTTAATAAACTTCGGCTGGCTTCCGCCAACCGGCGAAAACAGAAGTTGGAGGAAGATACAAAGAATTTATTTCCAATAGGTTAAAGCACATGTCAGAATTCCTCTAAAATATCTATATTTTGGGATATAATTCAAAGGAATCTCATAGTACTCTAACTAAAAAAAGACAAACTCTAACTACGAATATAGACACACACGTGTCCAAGTTTATAGTAAGAATTGAACTTTTTTTTTTGTCGGAAGGGGTAGGATTGGACATGTAGTTAGGATTGGATTTTTTTTCGGAGGGAGTAGGATTTTTGGATAGTTATTTCTTTGATCCAAGTGATCATCACATAGGAAAATCCTCCAAGAATCATTTGTTCGAAGTAGCCTTCATCATCGAAGAGGAGGCTAGTAGTAGCAGTGTAGCACGCACGCATGTAGGCGATGTACGCTTTAGTTGCTTCTTTTCCGGCAGATGGGTGTGTGTGGGCGTGCAACAGCAAGTCAGCAACAGAGGGAGGTCGGCCACTTCGCAATTGGAGTGAGGGGCCGCACACTTTTCGCCTGCACTTGCTAAGCTAGTAGCTGCATGCAAACATAATCTGTCTATCAATTCATCAGAGATTCAGAATATGTATTAAGTTAAAGCTATTCTGTTACAGGTCGAAACCAATAATTATTTATGAATGGAGGGACTAATGTGTGTTAATTGGTGCGATCCAAGCTGGTCGATGGCTTCTGCACATTTTGGCTGGTATGCTTGTCTTCACTCTGCTGGCCGGTCCACTGTCAGTTCAGATAATGCAGGGTGTTACGCTAGCTAGGTCGATTTCAGTTCAGATAATGCAGGCCTACCTCCTCCTCTTTGATTTCATTGACTTCGACGACGACCATACGAATTAAACCGTGTTAATCACAGTGGTAAATACTTCACCTGAAACAATCAAATCCATCAAGTGGCAGGTTAGTACTATGCGTTTCAGACAAGAGAGGCAACAGTTATACTCCCTGAGTGCACAAATATATTTGTCCATAAATATAAATATAAGATGTTATTTTATTTGTTCATAACTGTAAAGGATTTGAAATGTTACTTATCCCATCAATCATATTCCTTTTAATTTTCTTTGCATCTTACCCTCAACCATTACCATTACTTATTTAATGAGGATACTGAAGTATTTTCTCCTCAACTTTAATATCTGCTAAACGGCCTAGTGGTGGAGAGCCAGCAGCGCCATCGAGCTTGGCCCAATAATAGCGTTTTTCAATAGCCAACTATATTTTCCAGACATCGATAGCACAATCCATAGTGGAGACGCATGTAACTGAAGAGAGTTATATTAATATACTCCCTCCGTCCCATAATATAAGGGATTTTAGAGGGATTCATCATACTAGAATATGTCACATCCCTCCAAAATCCCTTATACTCCCTCCATTTCAAAATATTTGACACCATTGACTTTTTATCACATGTTTGACCGTTCGTCTTATTAAAAAAAATTATGAAATATATAAAACTATATGTGTATATGAAAGTATATTTAACAATAAATCAAATGATATGAAAAGAATAAATAATTACTTAAATTTTTTGAATAAGACGAATGGTCAAACACATACTAAAAAGTCAACGGTGTCATAACATTTTGAAACGAAGGGAGTATTATGGGATGGAGGGAGTAGAAGGTCTAGAGTAACACAATCTCTGGTGGCCGTCCTCCAGGGCCTGATATTACCTGAGCATCTCCGCGCCAGTTTCGACTCCCTGGTGCTCCTGATCTTTTGGCAGTTGTGGAAGAAATGAAACTCTAGGGTTTTCGACTCCACGCTTTCTTCAGTCTCAGGGTTCTGGAGTCCATCCACTCGGAGGATCATCTGTGGTCTTTAGCTGGCATTGTCGCTTTTAGAGACTTGTTGGGAGTGTAGCGTGGCTCGGGCCCTTCCTGCTGCTTGGAGTTTGTGTTTTAGCCGTCGTAGTTTGTTTCCTAAGCTTCAAGTTTTTATTTTTGCTTCGGTCTGGTTGATTGCGTTGTGTAACTATAACTATTTTCTTCTAATATATTCACGTGCAATCATTTTGCGCATTTGAGAAAAAAAAACACTTCACATGTTCCAAAATATAATCATTAATGAAAGTTTTAAAAGAAACCAAGTTTATGGTGAAAAATAATTGTAATTGGTTGAGGTAAAGAGTTAAATAGAGAAATTGGTTGAAATGAGATACTGTATGAAAAAGTGCTTATATTGTGGTATAAATTTTGAATCCTTAAAATCTTATATTTTGAAATGGGTGGAGTATTAGTACTCTAAAAACAGAATGCCTACTCCTTATGTCCAAAAATAAGTTTTACTCTTTTATTTACTCTCGGTTCACAATTAAATTTATAAGGTTTATCTCTTTAGTAACCCCTACATGTGCACGTGATACTATTCTCTCCAACTCCTAAAGTTGAGGAGAAAAGGGGGGTTTAGTGTACCTGATTTACTTTAACGATGGATGGTCAGGGGACATCACCGAGCATGCGTGTATGTGTATGGCCTATTATGTGAGGGTTGATTTTAAACTCTACAAAGGATGTCCCCTAGTTATTTGCATGTCACTTAAATAATTATGGAAAAAATTAAGAAGATATATTAACATGTAATATATCACTTCACAAATATACAAGTTAAAATTCAACTTTTACAAGACATGACGCAACATATAGAAGTTAATTTTATCTTCCATGTTTATGGAGTGATCTAGCACATATTAAACTATCTTGTTGATTTTTTTAAATGTTTTTCCAGTGACGCAAACAACAAAGTGACTTTCTCTCGAGAGTTTATAATGGGTGTGTTTAGTTCACGTCAAAATTGAAAGTTTGGTTGAAATTGGAACGATGTGACGGAAAAGTTGGAAGTTTATGTGCGTAGAAAAGTTTTGATGTGATGAAAAAAATTGAAAGTTCGAAGGAAAAGTTTGGAACTAAACAAGGCCAATAGTTTCTCCTATTCTATCTGGGTTATATATTATATGGGCCAAAACAACTGCGGTACTAATTGGGCCTTAAATTATTCGTCATGGCAAGCCCAACACAGGGTCCAGCGACGGATCGCATCGCGTTGCGGGATCAGAGAGAAGTGCGATGACTGTAAACCATCGGACTCCTCCGAGC